ACGGGAAATTATTTTAAAGAGACAGGCATATTATTATAGCGACAGTGACGATGACGAGAGTGAGGGGGAAGAAATATATTATGGCATTGCCAGCATTCACTGTGAGAATCCCTATAAAAATTTTAATAGAGTTTCTATTAATGTCAGTGAAAACAACTATGTGGATAACGGTGGACATACTCATGATCCTGACCCCAGGCAAGTGCCGGCCTCGCAACCATGGTTCATGGCTAAAGATACTGAGAAACAAAATGATATTATTGCCTTTGCTGACGACTCAATTTTTTTTAATGGAAATGACAGTGATTTGTTAATTGATCCGTCGGCTAACGTTAAAAGGGACAACGTTGACCGTGTTGACATACCCCCAGTGGCAAAGGGTACAGATATAGCTTTAGATTCATGTCAAAACGAGGTTGAAGTAGTTGGTGTATCCCAGGAAGTCCAATGTAAAGAAGAAAGGGGACGACAATTTAATAAGGTAGAAGTCATTGGAAATGACCTTAGGTGGACATATGTAGGGGATTGTCCCAGCGCCACAGCATGTAATGAATTGGTTGTTATGGAAACGGGCGGCATTGAAAGCAAAGAGAACCCTGTTCTAATGTCTGAGGACATGATTTTTGTTGTATCTCATGGTGAGCCATCAGATAATGTAAGTCCTGAAGTTAAAGTGTCTGATTTTTTGTGTGAGGTTGATGAGGTGAGTGTAATCCCTGAGGTGGGGGAAGGAGAGAAAATTGTTGTTGATAATTATTGTGATGTAAATGAGTCACTGTGTAATGTGAGCAAAGGTTGCTCAAATGTTGATATTTTTACAGAGATATGTACTGGTAATGAATATGAATTAGTTGATAATGTGAGCCAGGTGTGCTCAGGTTTTGATGTTACTGCAGAGATCTGCAATGAAAATGTATCACAAGTTGTTATGAGCAAGGGTTGCTCAAAATTTTATAGTATTACAGAGAGCTGTATTGATGATGAATCAATAGGTAATGTGAGCCAGGGCTGCTCAGATTTTCATATTGTTACGGATAGCTGTAATGATAATGAATCACCTGTAAATGTGAGCCAGGGCTGCTCAAATTTTCATATTGTTACGGATAATGGTAATGATAATGAATCACCTGTAAATGTGAGCCAGGGCTGCTCAAATGTACATATTGTTACAGATAGTTGTAATGAAAATAAATTCCCAAGTAATGTGAGTGAAGGTTGTCCAGATTTTGAGAGCCAGGAGTGCTCTAACATTAAGTTGGAAACCAATGTTGAAAGTGTTAAAGAGAGCGCTGCCAGCTCTAAAGGTGCACTTGTTTATGATTTTCAAGAGGAGGTGAGTTGTCAGGTCCATGAGTTGGGAGGTGATGCTTTTGTTTGTATTGTTAAAAAAAATGAATCTGTTAAAAGTAACTATTGCCATGATTGCTTTGAAGTTCCTGATTTGTTTGAATTTCTTTTTTATGAGACTCGTTTTTCATTTTGTAACAATTTAAAAATATGTATTGTAAAACTGAGATTTCACATGAGTTATGACCACGGGTCAAAAGAACAGGGAGAGATAATTTTAATTATAATAAACATGTTGAAGCATAAAGTTGTGAAATCCACGGACAAAAGATATGTCCCGCCATCTGTAGCTGTGTTATTTAAGAGCAAATAAAGGCTGCTCAAATTGTGGTGAGGCATCTCTCACCTGTACTAATGTTAGATAGTTTTGTGTTTTTATAGTGATGACCATTGGTTTTATTTAAAAATACACCTTTTTGATGATATGATTTGGATTAACTTAGTTATAGTTTCAGATTCAGTAAGGATGTTGATGTATTTGCCCTGATTTTTTAGATAAAAATATAATTATTTGGATTTTTATTGTCGTACATGAATTTTTAACTCTTGAATTGCATTTAAAATTATGTACGAAGGATTGTTTATTTTATTGCAGTATATCATAAATCTGTTTGATTTTCAGTGATACCTAAATAATGTTTTTTGATAAGGACCATTCATATGGCTGAAGGTCTCTTCTTGATGTAATTCATGTAAATTTTGTGTGTCTGGTGACGATTTAACTCCCTGAGTTAAATCTGAAATGAAAGAGGGGGGATATGTCGAGTGTGAGCGTTCATTGGTAATTGTTGCGACTCAATATTATGTTGATTAGTTGTTGAACGCGTTTCCCGCGCTTGACTATTATAGTTAGTGAACGCTCTTCCCGCCATTGTCTTTATGACGTATTTTTATGCTGAGTCGTGACGTATTGTCTATGCAGTGTTGTGACGTATGTTTTAGTCGTGCTGGCAGTCTTGAGTGGAACCTTGGAGTGATAGGATGTTTATTATATTTACTTAGATATTAAACTTATAGTTATTATGAAACGGAGTTGAGTTTGTTAATTGATTAAAAATCTTTACGTTCCGTTGCAACAATATCGCCACAAACCCCCCCCCCCCCCTCAACAATTCTCACATCAACAGAAAAATATTTACACTCATGATACATTTTAATCACAATGAAAATAAATGCTAATTGGGTGATTAATGAATATCAGTAAGAGTAGAATCACAATCTCTTGTGTAGTTATGATTGCTACGTTCATAGCTGCCTTAAATCTTAAATGTGACAATGTGTTTAAAAATGCCAGGACAAAATAATATGCAGAAATAAATTTGTAATGAAATAACAAGACAGTTTTTACTGAGCTACCGGTATATATATATTATAAATACATATTTATGACACCAATCAAACCTGCAGGAAAACCAACAAAACAAACGCACACACAACCTTTTGCTGAAAGGTAAAAAATGACTTGTGAATGCAAAGAGACAATGAAACTGTAACATTAGCATCACCAACTGTTGACGGTGTAACATAGATAGCGGTTTAAGTTTTAGTCAGAGCTCGTCAAAATAAACACAGCCTAAATATGATTTTTTTTTTTAAACACAAAAGGGCATATTGTCCCCAACTATACTTTTTTTTTTCCTTTTACGAAAATCATCAATCAGCAGAACCAGACTCTACGGCTTTTCTCCAGCCTGTTTACAAAAGATTCTTTTCTGGCAATGCTGCATGTGGCCTGTGTAATGGCCGAATGCACCCAATAACTTGTAGTCTAACTAGTGGCCGGCTGGGCCGCTAGCATCCACTTGAATTGTACCAGGAACACATCATTTTTGGCCCGGTCGCCTATTTTATCTTATGCTCACTAGAATTGATTCCATGGAGTCACCCCACTCAGACTTCTCCACCAACCTCCTCCAAATCAGTGCTCTGACTATACACTGCTCTTGTGGCACCCTACTCTGGTGGCAGGTGACACCCTGCTCCTCTTTTAAACTTAGTTGTGTTATAAAACTGACTTGATCCAGCTCTGTCAAATTTAATAATTTCCATTAGCGCCTCTGTGAGGATGTCCCAGGTACGGCCGGCATCCCTGCACTACCAGCTAAGCTACTGCTTTTGCCCCCAAACGTTAAAAGATGCAAAGGTTTTCAAAATCGCTCGTTCACGAGGAGGCAGTCAAAAAAGATGCTGACATTTGCAACAACCAACCTTGGCAAATTGTTCACTCAAATAAACATAAAAACAAGAAATAGAATACTAATAGAAATCAAAATATTTAACTCCAAAAATAGTATGCATAATTTTCTCTGATTTAAAAAAATCTCCAATTTTTTATGTCATTGTAAAAAAAATAAAACATTATTTCTATAAAATTTGAACTGAACATTTGTTCAATGAAATATTTTTGTTATATAATGAAGATGTTATTCATTTTGTAATTTTATAACCGTATTCTCCATATAAAATAGGTTCAAATGAAACAATTTGATTTCTACAGACTATTATTTTCTTCCTCTGAAGGCGGGGGGGTTGGGGGGGGGGTGGGGAGGAGGAGGGAGGGAGGAGTGTGTGTAGGTAACAGGTGGCGTAAAAGTGTATATTTTTGGGTAGTGGCTGAAAAAGATCGCCGACGACGTATGCAACTATGATTGTGAAAAATAAAACATTAATTGATTGTGCACTAACAAAATTTAAATCAAACTCAAATTGAAATTATGCCATTCAGATATGATGACAAAGTTAGGATTAACCAGACATTTCAAACTGTGAGTGAATTATGGTTAAGCGATTTTCATCAGCAGACCACCAAATGCTAAAAAAGAATATAAAATGTTTTTTCAAGGTACTGTGAAAATGTTCATTTCATTCTGACAGTCAAATCTAATTACGGTACCGGTACTTATGAATAATGATATGAACAATGAGTAAAAGAATGAATATAATTCTATTGAGGTTTTTTGGTAATGATGAAATGAATTTTAAAAAAAAAATAAAAAATAATTGTAAATATGAAAGAAAGATGTCCATACTTATTCAACATATGAAAGAAAGATGTCCATACATATTCAACATATGAAAGAAAGATGTCCATACTTATTCAACATATGAAAGAGGATTTTTTGTTACGTACACTTCAGATATTTTTTTTTTTTAAAGTTAATCTTCTAAGATGTTACGGTACATTATAATAAAATCAACCAGAAGAATGCTAGCTGAAGCCTCATTCTGGACACAGGACTTTCAATCAAATGTCAACACGTTATAGAAAATGCTACATCCCGCTAAATAACTACTGAATGACATAGTGTAATAAAATACCAAAACCTAATGTGTATTTGTTGAATGAATACCTGATTCGCAGACATCAAAATCTGGAATGTCTTGACTCGTTTGTTTGCTGATGAAGGCTTCTTGCTGACACATTCATCGTTTTGTTGCATTCTTTTCTTTCCATACTTTGTTTCGCTCATTTCCATTTTTCTAACTAGATTGCACTCTCTCACCTTATTACTATTAATTTAATTATTGCAAAGACATTTGAACATTGTTTAACATGTGGCAGTGGAAAATTGAAAATCACATTGAACAAAAGAATCAAGTAAAGATCATAATTTACTTTTAAGATAAATCCGACTATGAACTATTTAAATATCTGGGAAAATGCATTAACCTTTTTATTAAAATGGATTTCATTAAGGACACATTAAAAAAAATAACAATAATATTTCTTTTAATAAAGCCAAATTTTTTAGAGAGTGGAAATTTTTTTCAATAAGCCCATTACGGGCACGTTTTCAGCATTCAATTTTTGCAACTTGACAAATAACAGGAGTCCGTAGCACCACCAGATGCCTCATCTGTCTAACTACACTTAGTGTTTGTTAAAGGAGTCCGTTGGACCACCAGGTGCCTCATCTATCTAAGAGCACTGAGTGTTTGTTAAGATCAAGCCTCTGTCCAGCTACACTGGAGAATCTGCTGGCATCTTTGATGTCAACCAACAACTTCCTGTTGCATGCATCCTGGTACAACTCTGACCACAGCCCATTGGTTTTCTGAAAGATAAATTAAAACAAGACCTTATACAAATCATATTGGTTGTATTGACTTTCCACCTTTAATATTTCCTGCAACTGACCTGCCCACAAGCCTTCAACACTTTATTTACTTACTGCAACTGACCTACCCACATGCCCCTATCACTTTTTATATTTCCTGCAACTGACCTGCCCACAAGCCCCCAACACTTTATTTACTTACTGCAACTGACCTGCCCACAAACCCCTATCACTTTTTATATTTCCTGCAGCTGACCTACCCACAAGCCACCTGACACTTTTTGACACTACAAAATGACGTGACAGCAAATACTAAATTGAGTTTTGTTTTTAATGTACCAGAAAGGGGACTCAAACTCTCTGACCTCCACATCATGATTTTGAAAACCCACCAATTTAATGAACAAGCCGATAGATATTTAAGGTTAAATTTAGACAAAGATGTAGTTAAAGTTATGAGGATGCAAGCCGATTGGTGCACATTGGTAATCAGAAGTCGCCTCAGAATTTTCACTGCATACGTTCAGGAATAGGTGAATAAAGGATCTGCCATAAAGAAACCCTGAAGTGTGTTGCAAAACCAAACTGTTAGAAATTCACACTCAAAGACAAACCCCCACTCACCAGAGTTTCAAAATGGCCCATGACATACATAGCAAGTTTTGCCCTGGTCAGAGAAACATTCATTCTTCTTTTGTCGGCAAGGAAACTGAAATCAGCAGAATATTCATCAAAGTTACTATGTTATCCAATAAATTAGCACTGAGCATTTAAGAAATCATTAAAAAATCTATTTCCTATATGCAGCTGAAGTTTGTGTTTAATATTTGTATTTAATCGGTTTAGGAATGTTATTTATTAATTTTATACAAATAAGTACCTAACTGGTGTCATTGAAAATTAATGAAAACTGGGAGAAAATGCAATTAATATATATTACAAAATTAATTTTTTTTTAAAAGTTTAATATTTCATTCAATGGTCTTGGGAATGATTTTTAAAATGATCAAGGACATGACCTGTTTTCTTTAGAACCAGAAGGGAAAATCAAAACTTCAACTAGTGTTTAGCAATTAATTTTTTTTCAGTAATTTTCTTCCGTACTTAACCGTTAACCCTATAATTGTCCAGTACATTTTCTGTAGTTCCGAGCCATTTTTAACATTTTCCTGTGCTTGTCAAAAAATGACAAAATCCCAGACCAAATGAATTCAGAGGCCTTTACAAGTATACATTTTCTTAAAGTACATAGGACAAGGTATTTTATGGAATGAAAAGAATTTGTTTTCATATTACATATGTTGATACTGATCTTGACCTTTACAGAGTGAGTAAAATTTTAGCACTCAACTTCTGACCTCCACCCACACAAATACTCCATAAATTTTTCAAACTATCATGTAATCAAGTTATCGAGATACTAGAAGCAATATTCTTTCAGAAAATGTCAAGTTATAGTTTCTTGTTTTGAAAATTGTGACATTGGTGAATTTTTTTTCATTCCCTACCTTCAAATTTCTATCATGCAAAATACAAAAAAAAAAAAAAGAAAAAAAAAAAAAAAAAAAAAAAAAAAAAAAGGGGAGGGGGGGGGGGGGGTAGGCGCAAAATGAGTGCAAAAATTCCTTTTCAATTGCAGTTTTTAAATCCATTTTTTAAATTAATTAATTAATACTCCAGAACATACAAAGACATAAATGTCCTTCAGGTAGGTCTTTGGGATCCAATCTTTGTCTTTTTCTGTTAGTTTTCCCCACCCTTTCCCAAACCATTCTTCTATAACAGTACGACTTAGCTTGGGAATAGAGTTGTCAATATCTGACTCTCAGGCCGCCATCACCGCTAAAGCTGATTCTGTCATTAGTAGCACATGGAATATCTCTGAAATCTTTGCTCTCATTTTAATATATTTGAAATGATTCCAATAAAGAAATTCTGTGCTATTTTTGCAATCCAAAGGGGGACCCTCTTCGGCTCAGACATTATGGCGGTTAAATTTTTTAAAAGAAAATTTCAAACCCCATTGATCACAAAAAAATCCCTGATAAAAGCATGTTGACACACAGATCGAAACGGAAACAGGAAGCAAACTCCCTAATATAGAGTGATTTCCCCTTAAACAATATACATTAAATCACAGGCTTTTTAAAGACAATATTGCTAGGGGCTGATTATATCGGCCGAGACACCCCAGAAAGAGGAATAACGGCCGATGATCTGTCGTTATGACAGTTATAGGGTTAAGTATTTAACTCCTGCTGTTACGTTCAGAAATTTTTAGCTAAACACAGTCAAGATTTTGACATGGGATTAAGTCATGCAATTTTTTCACAATGTGATAAGTCTGATCACTGATGGATTAAAGGGTCAACATTTTGACAATGTGACAAGTCTGTCAACATTTTGACACCATACAAGTCTGACAACATTTTTGACAATGAGATAAGTCTAATAATTTACCCAATTGTTGTTGGGTTGTTCTGTGCCCTGACACAAGACATGATGATTACGTCCCTTTCCTGGCCTTGGAAGCCATCAACTGTGTTCACTTCAATCCTTTCAAGATTTCTAAATTAAATTTAAAATTTACAGATATCAAATATCATGTTACTCACATCAGCATAGGTTTTAGTATTAAAGATATTGATAGCAATCTTGGAACTTGACAAGCAAGCATTTAATGGTTCTAACTTCTCTCAGAATGAGTTTTTATTTTTTTTTCTCATGTTTTTTCCATGCCAAGCCACAGTACATCCTCCATTTGACTAGAGAATGGATTACAAAAACACCAAGATCAACTTTCTAGCTCAAGTGGTTCAAAAGTTATGATTTTTGTTCAAAACCACTTTGTTACTATGGTAAAAAAACGTTACCCAAAAAATTCTACACTGTAACTAACACAACATTTCTATATTATCATGGTTACCTTTTTCTCAAGTGGTTCAAAATGGTTTGCTTTTGATCAGCGTAAGGGCAGATAACGCCAACCCTTTTGTGGACAGTGCTGGGACTCTCCTTTAAAACTTCCATGACAACTGAACAAAGACTGGCGGTGCACTCAGCCTCAGGTACATTGGACAGGGACCTGATCAATGATGTATATCGGGGTAAATTAATTAACCATTTAACAAAACAATATGAAAACAAAAATCTCAAACTTTTTTTAATTTTCTTGGTAAGTCTTAAGAAATGAAAAGCACGTGTTCTGATTGTACATCATGTATTATGTTTGACCCAATTGTTATGTTGATATTCAATTGTTATGTTGATAATATGTAAAAAAGATAATAAGGTTTCAGAGGGTCTGAATAAATCATGAGGTAAAATAGGACATATAACAAAAATTATATAAATTGTGTTTATAAAAACCAACAGTTTTAATAACAAAACAAAAAAAAATGAGTTCCTGATGAAATAGTTAATATTCAAACCTTTCATTGGAAGATTCTTTGCCTCCTTGAATATCAAAGACAAGATATGGAGCCAGGAAAGATTTCCGACTCAGCACTGAACTAAAAAAAAATAACAAATAAAATATATATATATATATATAAAATTGTGAATAAAGACAATTATCTATTTTTAGATGTGTTTTGTAGGGTTGCGTGCTAAAATTTGTGTAGAAACAATTTTAAGCATGTTTTGATTGTTTAATAGAGTGAAAGAAAATGCTTTGCAGCATAAATTGGGAGAGCCTTAAATTTTTTGGGGGGGAGTTTTGTTCAGCGGGGTAAACATTTTATAAGGCAGATAGCATTATTTTTGTAATGTAGGAGCAAACACTTCTTACGCCAATGACTTATAAACATAAACACATTGCACTGTGGGTTTAAAACTAACTTTAATGTCAAGTATGTATGGTTGCCCACATGTACGTTCATATTTAAAATATAATGTATAGACAATAGTGTGGTTCATATGTAATATAAATGCATGTATGTACATTAATGTACATTTATATTTAATGTATGTGTATGTATGTACAATAATGTGGCTTGTCTCCGCACATACATTTTTTAAATTTTACTGAAATTAACATTAAAATCTTGATGCCCTGTTGTAGCTGTTAAGAGGACGTGTTTTAAAACTACACCCCACCTAACACAAGTCTTTTTAAAAAAAAACAAACTTATTTTGACAAAAGCTTCCTCCCGCTGGCTCTTGACGGCCAACTTACTCATCTGTCTTTAACTTGCCATCATAGAAAAGATTGTTTGGTAGTGCAAGCACCTCTGGATTCATGCGGTACTGTCTAACTAACATCATGATGGGAGACTGAAATGATGAACCTTTCTGCATCTCTTCAAAACGAAGATTCAGTCTCTCAAACAGGGATCTACCAAGCTCCAGTTCGTTAGCTTTCTGAAAATAGACAATTTTAAAAAATTGGGTTACTGAGATTATTTTTATCCCTTCTGTGAACAATTTATTTTCTTTAAAACTGTAATTACAATAGTGTAGTTTTATCAGTTCTAACTTCTAAAGATATTATTATTATTATTCACCAGAACTAATTTTAAGCTTGAAAAGTTTAAAATTTTTTTCAAAGCAACAGTTTCCATTTTAAGTTACCTGAGATAAAACAGTGGCAGGTAGCTGTTTCTGGTCTCCTACTAAAACCACCTTGGTCATCTTGTATTGTAAAGGTATGAGACAATCAACCTCAATGGCTTGCGTGGCCTGGGAGGCAAGAACAAGTTGTTTAACAACCTTGCCTAACATAGCAAAAATTAATAGCAAAATCTAACAGATGTAAATATACTTGGTATTTTTAGCATAATCTATTCAAGCATTGTGATTTTTTAAAATAAAATGCAACATTTAATTTTACATGGTTTGATAGCAAAAACTAACAAGAACACTTAATATACTGAGTCTAAAACATTGTAATATCTTGGATTGGAATCTGAGTCTAACACATTGTATAATCAGTATGATTATTTCTTTAAAAAATTTACCCTATAAAGTTCAGTCTTGGTCCACTAATCGGGCAAACAACAGTAATGTGAACATAATGTAGAGTGGCCAGAGCTTTTTAAATGAGTGCAGTCATGAATGCCTCATTGATAATCAACTTCAAGCAAGGGAGTTTAAAATTTCATCAATAATCAATCGAGTTGAATATCTCACCAATAATCAAGCAAATAAGTTGGATACATCAGGAATAATCAAATAGGTAAGTTGAATACCTCATCAATAATCAAACAGGTGAACGGCTGATCCTTGTGTCTGTGGTTCTCTCCACGCAACAAAATCCCCTTCACAGTTTCCATACCAAAGCTGCTGAGCGTTCCGCAGATGACATGAGCGTTGTCCATTACACTGCATTTAGCTTTGTACCTCTCTCTGGCAGTTGGCTGAAGTCAAAACAATATGCATTTTTAAATTCTCAATTGTTCCAGTAATTTTAAATTATTTTTTTTTTAAAGCAATGGAAGACTCTTTCCAATTCAGTCAGTGTCTCATAATAATTTGTTTTATCTGATGTCCAAAAGAGGTGGCCAAGTGCGGTTATTTAAAAAGTTTGAAGCAACCTGTGTGAGATGTTACGGATTAATATTTTTTGCAAGTCTGATGTGCAAAATTTAAAAAATATGACTTGCAGCATCATCAAAACTATTTAAGGTGGCTTTGCAAGGCACTTGGAAAGGCTGAAGGTAATATTCAGATTAAACGTTATCACCCATGTCAACTAAAAGATCACTAAGTACAACGTCAATCTTATTTGTTTATTCTTATACCGTAGTTAACCTAATTATCGCAGAGAGCTACTTGACATGCTTTTTGATGTGCCGCCGAAGTTAAGACTGACTTTTTAAAAAAAAGTCATAAGATATTTCTAAATATTACAACAATTTTATTTCAGAAATGAACATTAAAAACCATGCGTTGTTCACAAGTCAAACACAAACCTTTTTATTGCGAAGCTCTGACTCCAGACTCTTTATCTTATCTTTACACTGCAGAAGGTCAGCATCTTTTGATGCTTTCTAATGGATCAGGGGGAGAAAAATTAAATATATAAATAAAATATATTTTTGCACGTTGTTTTGTTACAGCAACGGTTCTTCCCTACATCCCAGAACTGTTCAAAACATTGTTATGGTCTCCAGGCAATATTTATAAGTAATACTGTTACCATATTTCTTTCCCTCCAACCCTTTCACAGGACCTATATTTATATTCTTTCACTTCCTGTAATCTTACTTCCGGCAACAACAAAGGATATCTCTAAAGTTTTTTTTACTGTGCTCTGTTTTCTTGTTTGTTGTATTTTCATTTGTCCTGTTTGCTGAAGAAGGCTCTAAGCTGAAACGTTCTTATCTTATTGTCCTGTCTATTGATTCAAACTTCAACACATACCTTGTTCTACTATTTCATTTACACAGCTTGAATTTGCAGTCCTTCAATTATTAAGGTCTACTTGGAATTTTTTAAAGCCCTATTTGTGGTGGAGCAGGGACTTGGGATAGTAGTTACAAGAACACCCATCCTACTATGGTGTGGCAGGAGTTGCAAGGGTGCATTTTTTTTGTTAAAGGAAAAAAAAAAAGGGGGGGGGGGTTGCCAGTCATCAGTAGATTAAATTCCTTAAGATATTTAAAATTTCATGAAGGTGACCATTACCTGCACTCTAGGGACAGATGGATCAGCCAATTTACTTTTTAGATTGCTTACTAGCCGCCTAAAATGTTCCAGTTCAGCCAGCAAACTGTCTGGCACTTTTGTATGTACTTTCAAAAGAAAAATTGATCGTAAATAAAAAGTGAAGCATAGCTTTTAAAAAACATATTTTATTTTACAAAACTCTGTAGGCTTCAATACCAATGAATAATACTTGGAGAATCAATTTTATGAGCTAAGATTCTTTTATGGACACATTCATTTTTAGCATACGGATAAAATTTTCTCATTAAGATTTTAAAGAAATGTTAACTAGAGCAATTGCAATTTAAACATTTTATAAGGTATTACTGCAGTACAAAATATCAGCTTTCAAACCACAATTCCATAGGGAGAATATTGACTTTAACAGTGATTATTTGATTTTGTATCAAGATCATTTTGAGTAAGGATTTTCCTACCCACCTTTGCATTGCTCTTCTACAAGTGTTTCCCAGTAGAAAGGTTTGACAACTGGCTTAATGCAGTCTCTGTTACCAATCCTTACTAAAGAAATACTTTTGTTCTCTAAAAGGTCATCACAAAAACAAAATAATTAGTTAATTAGTTGAAAAATGCAGCTGTCACATCAACATCATTAAAAAAATTAAAAAAAAAAAAACTTTGTTGATCTACTGTAAAAAAAATATAAAAAATTGCAAAATAAATATTAATGCATATTTCTTCCCATTTATGGGTTATTAAATAAAACATGCACACACAAAAAAAATCAACTTATTTTATAAAGGAGAATGAAAAACAAACCAATTATTTTATGAATTAATGGACTGAATGTCTCCAGAAAATCAACTTAGTTACATGTCAAAAACACCTTTAGAAACTCACCGGCCACTCTCAGTCTTTCTGAAAACTGTATGATTCTTTTAGCTACTTCATCCACTGCAGCATTAGACGGTGTGGCTAAACAAATACGTGCCTTGAAGCCTGATGACTGAAAACAACACACATTGGAATAAGAGAGGAGTACATTTCTTTAATAAATTGTGCAGTGCTAATTTCAAGGGATATTAATTATCTCAGCAGTTCTACCAAAACGTAAAGCATATGTAAAATTTCTTTATTTATTGCAAATAAATGGAAGTATTGAAAAATTTGGGTTTTATAAAACAATTAAAAAGTTTTTACCAGCAAAATCTGGTGTATGAGTGCCATGATGGTTTGTGTTTTTCCAGTGCCAGCCGGACCTTGAAGAAAAAATACTTTTTTAGCTTTAGGGGACATGAGCACTCCCCTTTTAATACTGGCAACAGCTTTTGCTTGTTCTGTGTTTAGTTTCTGGTTGGAATAAGACAACAAAAAAGTTGGAAAAGGCCATGATTACTAATTGGAATTATAACAATGTAACCATTAGAAAAGAATTTTTTGATTCAAAAATTTAATAACACTGTGGCTATAATTATATGGGCCGCATAATATCAGTTGCAGGGCCCCGCGGGCCATAGTTTGCCCACCCCTGCCAAATACCAATTGCTGTGGTAGAACTGGACCCACTTCATTTTTACATCATGTAAACAGGCTGTCATTACTTCAACAGAGCCATTAGGACCACTAAGTATCACTCGATTGAGAACCAGAGAATTGGGGCAAACTTCTCAAAGATAGTAATTTCAACAGAAGACACTTAATTCACAAATTTCCAACTCAAAAAAAAATAAAATAAATAATACGCTGGTAAGGTCTTTCAACCAGTATTATATGAAGAGAATTACTTGTCTATACTTTAACCGCAACCCCCGCATCCGCGCCCCTTTCCAAAAAGGAAAAGTCTTCCTGACAAGTACCCTGATGACATCTCCATGACTTTGTCAAGCGGTTAATGATAGTGTCATGAGATGATTGTTTGCACGATGTCGTACAGAATGAATAATGCCATGTCGCTGTATCAATTTAAATCTTATCGTGTACCTATGCAGATAAATGGTGAAAATTCATTGTTGAAATTTGCCCATTTAATTATAAATGATATTTACAGTCAGAAATGGGACAAACAAATACATAAAGCGACGTGGGTATCACCAGATGGATTTACCCATCATCAGATTGATCATGTGCTCATTGACCGGAGGCATGGCTCCCACATATTAGATGTACCAAACTGTAGAGGGGCAGACATAGACTCAGACAACATACTTGTAAGAATCAAATATAAACAATGAATTTGTAACATCCACAATAAACAAAACAAAAGAGCAAAACAGTACATCAGCCAGAAATTAAATAGGGACCAAAAATTCAAGAGGCATTTCAACAGAAGATTCAAACTCAACTAGAATTATCGAAAAGAGAAAAAAAATGAAGAAATTGTTAAAAGTTTACCAGAGGTAACAATAGGATTTAAGCAGAGAACTCATAGAAGAAATAAAAGCAAGGCTCATCTAATGATGTGCAAAGGGAGTCAAAAAGAACATGACAAATATTAAATGAAACGAGAGGGGTGGCTTCCAAAATTTGTAGAAAGAAAATTGTGATTAGGAAAAGTAAAAAAAAAATAGTTGAGGCAGAAGAGTTTGGAATTACATAGAGATGCGAGTGGAACGTATCTAAAGATAAAGCAGCTTTCAAGCAAGATCATACGTGAAAGTATGGATGGAGAAAAGATCTAAGAGAGCAACAAGGTATTAGAGAAATGGGCACAACACTTTGAAGGGATGCTAATTGGCTCATGTGGAGGAGCAAATGAGGATTGCAATCTACCACAAGGAGGAATGGACCCACTGGTCAGCCAACCAACATTGAATGTACCAAAAGATGTGACTTTACCATGTAAAGCCCCAGCAATAGGTCTTGTTACTGCAGAATTGATAAAAGTAGGTGGAAACGAACTGCATAGGCAAATACACGACCTCATAACCAGAATCTGGACGGAGGATTAAAATCCAATATAATGTGGTTCTGTGCTCATAATCCCAATTCCCAAGACAGGATGTAAGCTGAATTGCTCATATTATAGAGGAATCTCGCTACTTAGTGTACCTTACAAAATAAAAGGGGTGCCACTCACTAGAAGTTGTGAACCCTGAAATCCCTTTCTAAAACGTTCTTGAAAACTGAAACTTCACTTAAAAATTTTTGAAACCCTGAAACGTAATGAAACTCATAGAATTCATACACTCTAGAAATAATTTCTTATGCAATGATTACAAATGAAAGCAAGAGGCTTGCAAACATAAACCAGAGGTTGCAGTACCTGTTCTATTTACAGCAAACCCGCTCTCACTGAATAAGCTTTAGAGCGTTCTTACACTTACATGTTGATTTTTAAAAAAAAAAACGGAATCTGTATTTGAATAAACTAAACTGGTGAATCTGGAGCGAGAGAAAATAAAAACTCGTGAATCCGGAACTGAAAAATATTTAGCCTCACGAATCCGGAATTCTAGGATAATCCGTAAAAGTGGCACTCCTGAAAATCCTCACTAAACTAATAGCAAGAAAACTGTAAAGGTATAATGAACATATCCTAGGGGACTAACAATGTGGATTCTGACAGAATAGATCAACCACGGATCATATCTTTGCCATCAGATGTCTCCTAGAGAAATGCCATGAATATAGCATCACAGCATCAACATTCACCAACTATATGAAAACTACAAAACAGCTTATAGTAGGCAGGAAAATATCTGTATGATGCACTACAGGAACTTGGAGTCCCTAACAAACTTACCCGGCTTATACACATGACTAACTCAAAATGTAGAATCAAAGCACAGGGAGAGTACTCCTGATTAATCAGGGTCTCAGACAAGGAGACTCACTGTCATGTATCCTATTCATCACATCAAATTAGAAAATATTATTAGAAACATACATGTGAGCACCAGTGGAATCATCACAAACTACTTCGGAACTCCACAAACTACTTCGGAAATATCACAAACTACTTTGAAACTATCACAAACTACTTCGGAACTTTCACAAACTACTTCTAGAGAAGAACTACCAAACCACAACCATCGGGAAATTTATACAGCCAACCATTGAAGTACCATTGGGATATGCGGACGATATAGTCCTACTGGGCAGAAACAGCAATGATATAATTAAAGCATTTCAGGGAATTTGAAAATGTCTAAGTTAAAGCTGGTCTTGAGGTCAATGAAGCAAAGACAAAATACATGGTGATGTCACAAAACACACATACCTTTGACAACTTCAAAATAAGCAACCACACTTTTGAGAGGGTGGCTACTTTCAAATACCTAGGAGCTACTAATGAAAGAAATAATGACACTGGAGAAAGAAAGGGTAACAGCAGGCAAATGTTCTTATTTGAGCCTACAAGAGCTACTAGGAAGCAAAAACCTCTCAAAAAGTACAAAGAAAGTCATATACACCACAGTCGTATCAGAAGACCAGTAGTAATTTATGAAAGAGAGACTTGGTCCCTGTGCCAGAAAAGTAGAGAACCTGCTCAAAACATGGAACAGTAAAATCATCAGGACAGTAAACAATCCCGGTGATTGACAATGATGGATGGAGAATCGTAAAATCAGGAGATATATCATTTGTTTGAAGACCCGCCCAACAATTAAAAAAGGCAGGCTGTGCTAGACAGGACACATCAAAAGGATGACCTATTGTAGAGCAGCAAAAGTGATCTACAGGCAGAAACCTAGGGGCAGATGGCTCACCGGTCGACTAAGACTGAAATGGACTGATGTAGAGAAGGACTTACGTCAGCTGGGGGTCTGCACAAAGAGGTGGAATGCCATGGATCGGTCCGAATAAAAGGATATGGTGGTCGGGATAGGGCCCTTCATGCCCTGTAGCGCCAATGATTATGATGAAAAAATTTTTTTTTTTTAAATACAAATAATTCGGGTAAATTAACAATGAATTACCCCTTATCTGTTGGACATTAAAATAACTAAAACATTGGAAAAAAGAGAAATCCTACAGAGCGTTCTTTTCCTGGATCCACTGTGTCATGGTAGAAAACATTTTGCTCACTAGGGCACAGCAGCTGTCCACACAATGGGTTATCAGGCAGCAAGGTCAGGGCCTCCAGTTGTCTCAGCAAAGTTTTCAGATTTGAGATTTTCTTGGAGGAAAAAATAGTTTTAGATGAGAATCAACAAACTGTCAAATAGTAACTGAAAGTGTTAGGAAAATTATATCAAGTACGGTAATTTAGTATTTTTTTAAAGATCCTTTCTCCAATTGATGATTAAAATATAATAAGTTGTTTTTGCTCAACTCCAAGAAGTCCAAATTAAATATAAATATAAAATAAATTGCATCAGCTGTACTCATGAGAGATCCATGTGTATACATAAGCACTATAAGTCGTCCAGCTAATATAAAAAAATATAATTTCATTACTTCATATAATCTTTAACCTTTATCAAGCCCACCGCATTTTTAATTTAAAGCTAGCAATGGGAAATGGAAGTACAATGTTGACTGGGTTAACGATACCGGTATATTAAAATATCAGTGGCTGTTTCATTCTCTATACATTGTGCATAATTAACTTTCAAAATTTACACAGGCTTGTTCTAAATACTTCTTTTACATTAAACCAAATAATTAGCCTCAATACATTAATATAAAAAAAAAGTAATGTTTCTGTTATAAAACCCAATGTAAGACCTCAACAATGTAAAAGAGGAAAAAAAGGGGTGTGTCTTTTATGCAATGGTTCATTCCTTGATTTATCGATTTTAGCCCCTTCAACCAATTTTTTTTTACAGACCAGAGTTTGAAGAATGTTGACCTAATGGACAGGGTGTGTTGGGTCCCATTTTTATTGCGATAATTTTAATTAGTAAGAAACATAACAATAACTATGAATGTCCCACTAGAAACGGAGGTCTCAAATGTATAGATTTAGCTACCTGAATCTCCATAGGTTTTGAAGGAAAGTAGTTGACTTGATACTTGATCTTGAGGGTCAGTTGGTAAATTAAAATATCATCTCTCATACTTGATTCTGTGAATTAAAAAAATAATAAATGCTAAATTTGCTCTGTTATTTTATTTAAAACTATTTTGAAAATGCATTCTTTAATAAGTCCCTATCTACCTGTCTAACTCCTCAATTACCTACCGATCTGTAAGTGGGGGTAAGATTTATTCAGCCATCTTATGTCTTTGTCCCATAGAGGTTTGACACCTTGAACGAGGGCAAACTGTTCTCTCCAATTTGGTTCTATAGCCTCGAAGCCCTTAGGTTTTCCATAACCTTTCAGAATTAGAAAATCATCTTGGAATAGCTGATCTGTTCTGTCACATCTTGATGTTACACCTGTCAACATAATTGATGCTGGTCATGAGAAACAAATTTATTCCATCTAAGAAATATTGCCTAACTACTCTAGATGTTCCTTAAAATATATTATGAAATAGATCAAATATATTCATCCATCCCTTGCACCCACTGCACAAGAACATTTCATGCCACTATCAGTCTCATCAGCCATCTGCACACCCACAGACAGAATCAGAACTAGAAACAGCCAGAATCTGATGATTAAAATGGTCTTAATGGATTTTGATGCACAAACTCACATAACATAAAAATAACAGTCAGTATGTCACATCCCAACATTAGAAGATCAAATTTTTGGTATGTGTTATGAAAATATAAAAAAAAGTCTAAGACGTCTCACAGTTTATTTCACCTTTGGAGAATTGGATCACACAATTGTTCACCTAACACCTTGCTAGTTTTAAAACATAAAAAACTCAGACTAAGTCTTTCAAGTTGTAATTATAATTAACCTGTTTTAAAATCTTATTAACAACATTTACTTTCAGTTGTACCTGACATGATGAAAATGATTATGTACAAAACACATTACCATTTATTTCTATCAAGTAAAGAAACTTAATCTTATCTTAACCTGATGGGAAAAAAACCCTGATTTTTTTTTTTTACTTAGATGTCAGAGCAGAGGATGCACCCTGACAGCCACCATTCAACATAATTATGACACCAATAATACTGCCCAACAAAAACAGTTAAATAAAATCACAGTGACTTCATCACATTGTCCTTTCATTCTCTAGGTCATTTCTTCATGGAGAGTGCCCCCAATTTAATTTAAAAAAAACTTGCCAATGACTTCAATCACTAAAGGAACCTGTTCTTTCTTTCCATCTCTTCCAGTAGGGTAATATGGTAGACGATCCAAAACCACCTTTGATTTCTTGATATTTTCAAACTTTTTTTTCCAGTCCTGATAAATCTGGGGAAAAACATCATAAACGCAAATTGTCAGCAGTGAAAAGCTTGTTTGCAATCAAAAGATGTTTAGAATTAAGCAATGGATTGAATTGATGAAACAATTACCTTGAGGTAAATTTAACAAGTGGTTCTGTCTTGGGATATTTAAAAAGAACTAAACCAAGGACTAATTTAAATTTTCATAGCCAGATAATAATTACATTCTATAATGCTGCATAATTTTTGCCAAGAGTTCAATCAAAGCTACAATTAAATATTTATTAGCTCACCAACTCCCATGTTTCAAGGATAAGCAGATTGCTGGTGATCGCTAAATACTCCTTAAATGTTTCAAAATACATCCTGAGACGTGAGTAGTGGTTATCCATGCCAAGCAGAGGAGGTGGTTGCTGTGCTTTACTTTGGCCTTTTGAGACTTTATCTGTGGGCAGTATTTAAAAGTTAATTCTTCAAGTAATTTCTTTTCTTTAGTCTACATAGAGAAATGTAAGTTTAACAATTAAAAGTTATTGATAGTGATACATGATGTCAAATTAAAAGGATCTAAGAAGAGACTTTGGTAAATCAATATACATATGCTGATAGAATATGTCACGGCTGTAACTCTCTAAACCAGTGGTCGGCAAACAGCCAGCGGCAACAAATCGGTTTTGACTCCGAAAAACATGAATCTTGACAGTTTCTTGAAAAGAGATTTGGCTCTCAAAATTTGCTTAATCGTCCTGCTGCTGATTTTTGTCTCTTTTGACTAATGAGTTAGCTCATAACGATAATGTTTTGAATTTTTTTCCCCTATTTTATTGGGATGTAGAGCCTGCCCATGGTCTTTCAAATTTCTGGTACCGGTAATGTGATAAAACGGAAATCCTTCTCATCCACTCTCAAAACAAACATCTCCCTCCATCCGCTCCTTCTTCTATATCTATTGGCAACTCTGACATCACACTCTCTTCCTCTGCCAGAAACCTTGGAGTCACACTTACAGACACCCTCTCCATGGACAAACATGTCATGAATATATGTAGATCAGCATATAACGAAATTAGAAAAATCAGCACCATTAGACACCTCCTCTCCTTTGATGCCACAAAAACTCTCGTCTCTTCACTAATTCTTTCAAAATTTGACTACTGTAACACTCTTCTCGCAGGCATTCCTCAACACCACATAGACAAACTTCAGAAGGCACAGAACTCAGCATGCAGACTCATTTTTAAATCAAAGAAACATGACCACATCTTCAACTCGTTCACTGACCCTCACTTTCCTGTCTATCTCTCTGAACTGTTGCTTCCTTACATCCCCACAAGACAACTACGCTCTTCCATTGACAATAGAACCCTCTCAATCCCAAGAACCAAAACTAAGACCACCGGTGAACGCTCCTTCTACTTCCATGGGCCCACGTTCTGGAACCAGCTCCCCTTCTATATCCGTCATTGTGAAACCTCATCCACTTTTAAAAAGTCCCTTAAAACCGATCTGTTTAGGTCTGCCTATGACCTGTGATGCACCCTCCTTGCCCTGCCTCATTTTCTGTCTCGGGTTAATCCTGTAATATTGGCCAAAACGTGCCAAAGTGTCCTCGTTTTATAGCCATTTTAATTGTTTCTATAGTATAGTAGTTACTATCCTAGTGTCTCATTTTTATTGTAGTTAGTTTACATGTTTTTAATAATTGTAAAGCGCTTAGAGCTTTAAGGTAAGCGCTATATAAAAATGCCTAAATAAATAAATAAATTTAGAGAGTTATTACAATGATATGTCAGCTAAGTCACATAAAAGTTTATGTTAATAATAATTACCATATTCTCGAAGCCAATTTGTGTTCCAACCAAGTATTTTAAGAAGAACACTTGTAATGAACTCAGGACTTGACTGTGGAACTTCTGTCAGCTGGGGAACATTATTTAGCATTTCTCTGAATGGTCTGCTGACAGGCTCGATGAACTTAAAAGTGTTTTGTGAGTCTCGGAAATTAACGGTCTTCCTTTCAGGCAGTTTGTCTGGTTGTTTTAAAATACTTCGAGGCAGTGTCTGATCTTCAGTGGGTTTTACTGACACACGCATGCCTACTGAAGATTTCTGGCGGGGAGCCAACGAAGAACAGGACACTGAAGACGGAACGGCTGATAAAGAGTTCTGGGTAGAGGAGACACAGGCACTGGAAGCGTTTACTTCAACTGTTGAGCTTTCAGGCCGATCAGAGGAGTTTGGCACTGTGACATTGGATGTTCTGACACTGGATTCTGCATGAGATAATCCTGTTGCAGAAGGAGAGGATTCTTTGACGGCACCCAACAACGAGGCTGGACTTTTGGCGAGTGCAGCTGAAGGTTGTCTCATAAGCTTTTCGTTTCGTCCAGTCTCACTTTTTCCATGTCCATCCGAAGCAGACAAGTTGCTGTTATTTTGTTTCTCCTCAGGGGCCACTCTCCCTTGACTGGGAAGGCCAAGATTCAGTTTGGTTTTGTCAACTGGTAAACGGGCAGTGAGTATGGGCAAGCCTCGGGCCATGATATCTTGAGTGCATGGCATTTCTACATCCTCCTCATCATTGTGGTGCACGGTTTTTTCTGATTGGTGGGCATTTGATTTATGTAATGCGGTGGACACTTTCATCTGGCGTTCAAGCATGCGCTGACGAGCCGCCTCAATATTTAGGCTAATACTTGCTGCAGTGCCTATGGATTTCTTCTTTGGGTCCTTTTGTTTCATTCTTCTGTCGCCGGAAGTTAACCAAGAAAACTTCACGTTTTTCTGTCTTTTGACTGGTGACTTATTTTGTTCCATATCAATAAAAGAACGTTTCAATGAGGGTAATTTACCAGTAAATGCTGCTTTTTTTGGGACATTATCTTTAAGAGACTGGGTAGCTTTTAATGTTTTTGTTGGGCTTTCTGGTTGAACCATATTGCCACCAGATTTAAGTGATTTCTTTGTACTTTTATCTTTCTCTGCTGAACCCAAACTGGCATATTCTCCCACGGAAGAAAAAGACCTCTTCTTTCTTTTAAAGCCATTTTTGACCCCCGACTCATTTTGTGCTTCAACAGAAGTTGAAGAATCCTTTCCTTCCAATTCATTTTTCCTGGCGATATTTGAAATACTTTTGGTGTGAGGAATTGAGGGGGTCAGCTTAGATAATGGCTTATCAGGAACTTCTGGCACTTGATCAGCACTTTTACTGCGAAAAAGGCCTTTATAAACTGGGTTGGCAGAGGTTTCATTATATTTTAAAGGGTGCCTTACATTTGTTCCATCTTTGTGATCCAAAGAATGAGAAATATAATTTTTTCTAAGTCTGTAATCACCAGGGAAGACATCTGCCTTATTTTTTTCTATAACTTCCTTGACGGAATGATTAGATGGGACTGCTGTGAGCAACTTTGATGTCTTGCCAGTAAGACTACTTTTAGAGCTTGACACATCTGACTTTTTTCTTTTCTCTTCTCCTGCTGACCTGTCCTTCTTATCACCAACGGACTCAAAACTTGGGATCTTTATGCTTGGTGTTTTTATTTTCGTGTCATTGCTTATAATTTTTTGCTCACTACGTTTACCCACCATGTCTGGTTTGTCTACCTGGGTGGCCACAAAGTAATCTTCTATGTCTGACAAGCTTGATGAGAGTTTCTCTTCTGGTGACTCCCTGTCTTGGTAGGGCATATCTGGTGACTCCCTGCCCTGGTGGGGCGTGTTTGGTGACTCCCTGCCCTGGTGGAGCATGTTTGGTGACTCCCTGCCCTGGTGGGGCATGTTTGGTGACTCCCTGCCTTGGTGGGGCGTGTTTGGTGACTCCCTGTCTTGTTGGGACATGTTTGGTACAAAATGCTCTCCTGATGGGATGCTAGCTAATTTAGCTTCCTCATTTATATTTGGTGAGAGGGCTTCCTCCTTCCTTGATTTTGATTTAGAAGTCACTGTCTTGGATCCCATGCTCCTTGGGATGTCTGAACAGGAGTGCTCATCTCCTTTTTTAAATTCAGCACTGCACTCATTTACTTTTTTGAATTCAGCACTAAATTTATCAAACAACCCTACAGGTGTCGGATTGTCAACTTTTTTCTTTGGGAAAAAAAGATAGCGCTTGACTTTTGGGGTGACAGTGCTTGGATCAACCTGAGTAGAGGCCATAAACTCAACAATGTTACTTTCACTCACATCAAAGCTGTCTTTGCTGCACTCTTTCAGTTTTGTGGTTGTTCGATGTGCCTTCATTTCCTCTTTATCCACTTGAGTTGCAGAGTTGAAATTTTCCACATTCCTTTCATCTGATTCTTTTCTTTCCACAATTTGGTCTGATTTGGAACTGATATTTTTAAGAGTTTTCTTATACCTTCGACAGTCTTCTCTGTTAGTCAATTTCTCAGATTTTTCATCAGGAGAATCCACAAGAGTGGCATTGCTGAAAAAGTCTTCATCCAAATTTACATTATCATCTGTCAATGAGTCGTGCTGAGTGGCAATGCTGTAGACATTTTCATCCACATTTACATTATCGCCTGACAATGAGCTGTGCTGAGTGGCAATGCCATATACGTCTTCATTCAAATTTAAGTTATCATCAGACGATGAGTCGTTTTGAGTGGCTGCATCATATGGTCCCACCACCACTTCCTTTGCACTTAATACATCATTTTTAGAGATTTTCACAGAAAAACTGGGCAAAATATCATCCTGAGTTTCAATATCAAATGGCTCTACCATCTTTTTCTTTGTATTTGAAACATCTTCTTTTGGGACTTCTACAGAATCAGCTTGAGTTTGGGCTAAATATGGGTCATCATTATCACAGTCTGTAACTTCAACAAAATCCTTTTCCATATTGTAGACAACACCATCTGCCGGAGGCTGGGTGTCCATCTCAAAAGCTCTGTCTGGAAAAGAGCTTGTAACTTCAGGAGAGGAAGGGTCTATTTGAGTTTCATCATTAAACAAGTCCCAGCTTGGAGAATCTACCTCTGCCACAGGAGAACAAGATCTAGGTTTTTCAGAGTCTCTGGTGTCACCATCTTTTGTTGTATCTTCTTGGTCGTCTTGGATGTAGTCAACTTGAGTGTGAGCCATATACAAGTCATCATCCCATTGGTCATCACTGCTGTGTGAGTCCATTGTTTCATCTTCTCCTACATCTAGGTCAACAGGGCTGGATGAAGAAAGACCACCAGGATCTTCTCTAAGGGTCTCAGTTGAATTCTTATCATGAGATTCTTTGTTAACTCTGTGCGGACTGCCAAAAATAGACTGGGTATAAAACAGCTCTTCATCATCAGAGTCGAAGACATGGACAACAGTGTCAATCACAGAGTAATGAAATTCACCAGCTTCTTCTTGGTCTTTTGTTGTCTCCTCCTTGACAACAGCCAGATCAACGTTGCTGCCATCACATGAGGGGAGGGATACAGTAATATTTGGTATTTGCTGATCTGTTACACCTATGGACTCACCATCTGATTTACTGAAACCATTATCAGTTGATTTTTTACTGCCAATTTGTTCTAACTGATTGACTGAGCCATTTGTGGTGGTAGGCATTTCCACACCATCCTCCCCACTCATGGCGGACCTACAGTTTGTGGCTGTGGAGGATTTGTCCTGGGTTGAGTTGTGAGTCGTCGATGTGATGGTTGACACTTGCTCTTGGAGCTTCTCACAGGGTTTGTTAATATTATTGTTTAAATTAGTTCCAGGGTCACTGAATACTTGGTTCTTTGCATAAGAAATATGTGCAGTGTCGTCAGGCTTGTCTTTTCCTACTGGGACACCCTCTGCCACAGAGTCCTTCTTTCCCACTCTTGCTGGACCCTTATCATCCAAAACTGTAATCTCTGGCTCACTTGCATGAGGTACCGCTGCTTTAGTTGCGAATGCATGATCTGCTAGTTTCTGTTTAGAAGAGGTTGGCTTAGGAGTAGATGTGTAAAACAATCTAGGGGTTTGTTTATTATCATCAAGTTTTTTTAAACACGCCCTTATTTCTTCTTCTTCTGTGCACAGCATTTCAATGCATTCTGATATGTCTACATTGCCACCCAAAGTATTGTTGGTATCCTCTGTGAACATCTGGGAATCCCTAAGGCGGGTTGGTTTATGGGATTCCAGACAAACTGTGTCTGGGTTTTTTATATTGTCTAAAGAGGCACTTCTGACAGAAAATTTTGGGGAAGGCTTTGGGTTTTCTACTTTAGGGATGACTTTAGAGTTTGAATATGATGGCTCATCAGTTTCATCAGAAGACATGATGATACAATCTGAATCTGAGGAGATATCATCATAAATGTTTTGAGGATCCTTATTTTTGGCTGGGCTCTCTTCAGAATCTATTATAATGGGGGAGGCAGGCTCCTGAGACTTTTTTAAACTAAGTTTTATATCTTTGGACCCCCTTCTAAATACAGGAGACCTGGATTGGTCAAAGCTGTTTGAAATGTTGTCTGATGTGGATGTGTTTTGCTGAGTCTGTGATGATTTCAAATTCTTAACTCCTCCAAGCTTACAAGCTTTTTTGTACAGTTGTTTAAACTTTAACCTATTTTCCTCTTTGTTGAGCTGCTGCCAAACTGATTTGGCTTTATTTTGCATTTCATCCCTCTTTGAAACTTCAAGAGGCACTGTGCAGTTAAAAGGTCTTTTTTTCCGCTTGGGTCGCTGTGATCTCTGAGACTGTAAAATGTTTTGTGAATCACAGTCATCAGATGAAGAACAACTAATGTGTTGTTCAGAGACCTTCACGCTTTGCGTTAAAATCCGTTGGTTAGCAGGTTTTATCTTGTCTCCACTGGTGTTATTTGGTGGAATACTTTGAAACTGACTTTGATCTTGGCGACCATCACTGTCTGTTTCACAGTCACTTTCAGGAATAGTGCTTGCATCACTGTCCACGGGGTAAATTGGGGTGCTATCCATATCAATAGCAGGTTTTAGCACTGTTGTTGACTGAAGTTAATGTATCAGAGGCTTCTGTCCTCAATGTGATAGACTTGACCGATCTATTGAAGTGTCTGAAGACATAACTTAAATGCTTTCTTGTCTGGCTTTAAGAGAAACTGCTTCAGATCTATTGTCAAGTTGTTTCTTTTTCATTGAACTATAAATATTTGTCAATGAATTAATACCGTAACTTTTTTTTATGGTGGGTGCTTCTGTTTTTCAGCAGCTTCATCTGAGGATAGACATGATGGTAAATTGAAATCTGTGTAAATTTTATGCATTTTCAGGGTCCATTAATTTTTGTAACGAAGAGATAAATACATTAGCCCAATGGCAATCAACGCCAGCCTTAGGTAAGCTTTCGTCCTGTTGGAAGCACCCGTTCGGCGCCCCCTCCCTGTTCCCTGTATGGCTCAGCTCTTTTTCCGATTACAATGGAGGCTATGGAACATGTGTTATGAAGCTATACATGTAGCTAACCATATGAATTTTAACATGCACATTAATTTAGACTGTTTAGTTTTTCTACGGTACTTTTTTACACACCACCTTTGGGGTTGTCCATAATCTGCCCCTTTGAGGTAGGAACTATCGGCACATTCTCCCTTCACTATAATAAACTAAGGGAATTTAAATATTTACTGGGCGCTCCAGGTGCCCCTATGGCCACGGCGCCATGTGCGAGGGCACATGTCGCACACCCTAAAGACCAGAGTTGTGGCAATAAAACAAGTTATGACTTTAAACTAGGGTGACTAAATGTCCCGTAAAAACGGGATTGTCTTGTTTGTTCACAATCGTACCCGGTGTCCAGAAAAAGTCTCTTGGGACGCCTAATGTCCCGTTTCTCAAACCAAACATATTTTCAAATCACTAAAACTTCCTAAATTATAATATAACTTCAAGTAATATTTTGGCTAGCTGTGTAGCCAGTGTCAGTAGTGATGTGGGCTCGTGTGATGGCTGCACTGTTCCCCCACATATCCTCAATTTAAATCCAAGACTAGAGAAATTTAATTTGTTGTGTTGCATTATGTTGTAAAATATGTATAGTCTGCAAAATTATTGTTTTCATTTAAATTAAATTAAAAAAGGGAAGGTAAATTTTAAAAGATTTCTAGGTCTCAAAATAGTTAATATTAGCATATTTCAATAAACAGTTTCTGGCGGAGGTCCCCGACCCCTCTTTAGCTGTAGGGTACCCCCCCCCCCTCCTTGGGTGTGTCCCGTTTTTTCCAGTTCATGATTTGGTTACCCTACTTTAAACAGAAAATTTGCTTTGTCTTGTAATCAACATCTGGAATAGGAAACATTTACTTTTTTTAAAGCTCTTTAAAAATAATTTCTGTGTGTATAATCTTTACTTTACTTTTGTTAATTAAAAATGTATTTTTTTAAAAATATGACTCACTTTAATATTTTGAGAAGAGTATTGAGAACATCAAATAAAAATGTTTAGTTTTGAAAATATTTTAAATCCAAAGAAAATTCAAATTGTAAATTCAATACTAGTTTTATAGTTATGACAATACTATAGGATAGGACCTTACACTTACACTAAATAAAAATATGTCCAGACATGTAAATTTGAATATTTTCCTTGCATGAAGTTATCTCCAGGGTATCCATGCCGATTATGTATGCAACATCTTACTTTACTAATACTATCAGAACATTTTAAATAATAGAAGCCTATACTAAAAATATAGTAGTTATAGATTTAAGCCTTAGTGTAGTCCTTGGTATAGGCCCTTACATACTCTACTTAAAATAAGTTATTATGGTACAATAGTAGGCCTACAGACCCTAATACTACTCATGACTAATGTAGTTTAGTAAGTAGTAGTCTTAGTAGTAGTCTTAAAACTGTGCTATAAATATATTTTAAGGAGTCCCCAATAAAAATGTATACACACTTAAGACTTAAGGAAGACAAAATCTTTCATAAAAATTAGTGGAATTGGAGCAAAGGCAAAAGGCTACACAGGACACTGACACAGGTGAGAGCTGAGCAGCAAGTGGGCAGTGGGGATAAAAGTGAAAGATTGAATGAATAGCTACGGAAAAGAATATTACATGGCATAATGGCAAGCTTGGGTATAAGGGCAGGTGGTGTGCCTATAACTATGGTCAGAAGAAACACTGTAAGTACTGTAAGTGTAAGACACTGAAAGACTCATTGAAAGTGAAAGCATTCTATCTGCATAATAATTAAATAATTATGCCTTGAGTGAGAAATGTCCATGGGAACGATTATTTTAAGTCTGGAATTGTCCAGCTTCTGTTCTGTATACAAACAGTCAAACATCACCAGCCAAATACACATTCATTCTTTGAAGCAGGAGTTCTACAAAGTAGACTACTTTATGTAGATTAACTTATAATTTAACTAGAGCTAGGCTAGGCGGCAGAGCTTGATTAACTTTTGACTTTTACTTTTTATTCTGACCAAAACAACAACAAACTATTTTAAATTAGTAATTAAGTTATTAGTCTATTAGAATTACTATTAAAGCTATTACTATTACTTGACAAGAACTTACGGACATTTATTTTTACCTTTAATCTTTACGGTAAATTTAAATTACATTTTGCGTCAGTTTCACTTTTACTTCTCATTTATATTTTGTTTTCAAATCTATTTCACTTCCACGAATAAAGCACACTATATTGCTAATAATAGAAATATTTTTATTGCCTGCTTGTACTTGAAGTAATTCATTTATTTGTTTTCCTTTTCACCCTTGTAAACAGTATCATAAAAATATATTGTTATGCATCATAAAATTGAATTATATGATTAAATATTATTTTGTTTATTCGGAGAAAAATATTACTATTCTGAATTGCTTACTAACAGGATTTAAAAAAAAAAATTGTTCTTCAAACGAAAAGTGGACCTGATTAGGTATATAAGTACTAAAACTATTATTCTTATAGTAATAAAAGACGAAGGCTGGTCACACTGATTCAAAATGATATTCAAGAAATTTAAAAGTCAAAATAGATTAAATAGGCGTAGAAATATGGATATTTCTGGGGGTGAAATATTAAAATTGTATTATTTGAAAGACATTCTTAGAAGAATTTTAAAAAGAGCTTCCGCCTTCAGCATTTTTAAACTTTGGAGATGTTTGAGTTATAAAAATTGTTTAAAGCTTAGTTTGCCGTAATTAACGGTAATATAATCTGACTTTAATTTGGTATTTATTTCTAATTTATTTTTTAAGACGATTATTTTTATTTAAAATTGTTTTTTTTTTTTTTTTTTTTTTTTTAAATCCTTAAAATCTACTTCACTCTTTTTCTCGACCGATAAAAAAACCTAATCCTTAAAAATCTGGTAATGCTATTTGAAGGGAATGACAAGATATTACTAAAAAAGAAAGATATTAAAAAGTCATGTTCAGGCGTACGTAGATAAAAAATAAACTCTCAAATTTCAGATGCGAAAGTGTTGAAAGTTATCTTTGCAAATTTTGTAAGTTTAATGTCATCCATATGCTTTTGAATTTTAATAACACATAATGGCTAAATTGTAATTTAACATAGATTAGACTGATTAGAGTTTAAGTTTAGGCTCTTTCAATCTTTAATTTATTAAAATTAAATTAATAATAATAACTGCTACTAATAAACTATTCCTATTGAATTATTATTTAGGAATTTTAGAGAAGGCGTAGGGCTAATTTTAAAATTAAAAGGCTTAAAATGGAATTTGGAAATATCTCATTCACATTTAATAATTTGGTAATCAGGGCATGCCATGGAGTTCAGCATCCCAATTTAAAATATTTTAATTTTCTAAGTGTCTATAGTCTATACTAGATACTTCGATGAAAGAAGGGAGACTACTATTTTTTTTGTATCGGAAATGGGCGTCGGCGCCGAAAAATCCGAGTTTTTAATTTTCCGATGTGTGTGTCTATTTATTATTAAATTAGTTCTTTCCACATATATTTGAGTTCCGTTTCCGGCCTTATAATTTGGAAGACATCTTGGCCTACATTTCTAGCCAGCTATTTTGCTTTTTTCAATCGACCTTTATTTTGAAAATCTTTGGTATATATAAGGCATCTTCGCATACAAAATTTTTTGTGAAATAATAAGATAAGGTCCTTTTTGATTAAATCTGTATGAGCATTAGATATTGATCTATATCTGTGCCAAGTTTCATTGATGTAGGTCGTGTCTCACGTTTGTTACACTTGTCACAGTGACCCATATCACCATAAGGTGGCTCAGCCTAATTTCGACATGGCGTGGGCCACGCCCCCTTTTTAATGGCGGAAGTTGCCGATACTTAGGAAATATTTAATTATTACCACTATATACATCAAAATATTTTATATTTTGTGTTTCAGAATGCATTTTGAAGACATTTAAACTGGAAATGTTTTAATTTGAGCTTTAAAAACCCTGCAGAGTCCATAATATAAATGATCAGAATTTTCCCTGTGCAACACGTTGTCATTGGCAACCATTCACAGCCACTTGCATAACGGCTACGTTGTAGTACTATCTCAGAGTTTCATTCATAAGAGTTTGCCGTGTGCAAAAGCTATTAAACCATTGGTCAGGGAAAGCTTTTATTAATTATTCATGTGCCAAAGTTGAAAGTTTAAAATAAGTCGACCCTAAACAGTATTTTAGTGATAAGGGAATACATTGCCTTATATAAACTATATAGTCATTGCGCATGACGCGATCAGTGGAATGAGGTCACAGAATGTGGAGATGCAGTCTATGTTAAAAAATGACAAACCAAGTCGTACTTTAAAAATTCATAACTTTAAAACTACAACAGCTAAAAATGTGATTTTGGTGTTATAATTATGTTTAAAATTAGCTCTATTCAACTGTGCCATTGGTTTATTTTTTAAAAAATGTTTACATTTTTTACCAAAGTATCTAGTCTATACTCTATAATACAGTATTACTATACACTAGATCTATATGGCCGCCGACCGGACAAATAAGTTCTCGAGATATTGATCTGGCAACCAAGTGACATGACCACTGTAACAAAATTGCGCGATATATTTTTTTGTCAGCCTTGTCACATGACCGCTAATAGTCTATCGGAAAATGGCGTCAGAGGTGCATGTGGGCGACGAACAGACCTGTTTACCCTCAAACTCTTAAAATCGTGCAGTACAATATCACAAAATCGTAAAATACTGTATATGTATAGTAAAAAATAAACACGCAGTAGTATGTGCAATCTATATACACCTCAAAATCGTACATTGTACGCCAAAATCGTAAGAGTAAACAGGTTAAACAGGTCTGGCAACAAGTTTACTTCATTTTCATATCAACAAATAAAGGGGGTGGGGGTAAGCAATGCATGCTCGAAGGAAGAAATACTGAGTGCGAGTGAAGAAGGATAAAAATGATAGTGAGGGTGATAAATAATTAAGGTGGGGAGGTAGATAGTTCACAAAGAAATAGACTCTACATCTTAATATAGAGCCAATATAGTGTGCTGTTGGGGTAGCCTACTTCTCATGCAAGATTAAGAGCCTAAAATAAAACTTATTTGACATAGGTCTATTGAATCAAAACTGGCAAGTATTGGTCTTATTTTGTTTGGTGCATATTTTAAATTGAGGCTGCTACTACTAGGCAGAGATTTATAAGATATTAAAACCAAAATAACTGACTTTTTTTTTTGATGACTCTGATTCAAATAGACTAGTACTAATATGTAAGTCCAAGTCAAAAGCTGATGACACACTTAATGTATCTCAGGGAATTGGAAAGTATTAACATATTCAGTATTTATTTATTATCTAGGGTTAGGCTGACTTACATATGTTCACAATATTGGAATATCATATGCAATGCAACTATTTTGCCGGTGACCTCTTTTTCACATGACATGTCTGCCAGAAAAATAACACCTACTAGTCGTCCGGCGATCGCTTGACATGCTCGTCGGTAGAATATCTCCCACTCTATTTGAATTGTCGGGTCACCGGAAGTGTAGACACTGCCTTTAATTTTTAAATTACTTCTTAAAAGTTTTTACTTCCCTTCCTGTTGTCTGCTGTGAATGGGGCGACAGTTTTCAATATGTTATATTCTAGCGTAGGTTTTTATGAGAGGAGATGAGTAGACGCGATGATAGAACCAAAGAGGGTGACGTCACGTACATTAGTGTGAGCTGTATTTAATTGAATGCTGAAGTCTGAAGGTCCAAGTCACTTAAAGCTATTTTAGAGACCAGTCATAAGTATAGTTGCACCACAAGTGTTGTAAATTTGGGATGACTTTGTTTTTGTAAGAAGGGTGGATATTGTGGAGAGTCCAGACCTGGGTACTGCAGGGGTGGGAGGAAATCCCACAGTACGAAGACTGACCAAATGTCGTAGGGTGTCAGATTGCACAGGGACGAGGGTAGTATGACATTGGCAGAGACAGTAGAAAAGTTGCAAATTTAGTGTTTTTTACCTGCCTTTTCCTTACTATAAATTTGATGAAAACAACTTGAGCCTGAGATAAAAATCCTGATTTTTCATGTTCAAATATATAATAAGTACATGTAACATTGCTTAAATTTACAATGAAACATATCAACAAGGGATTGGCAAGCTCTTCAAAAGTTGTTGCTGAACTTTAGACTTAGTTCTTTTGAAAATCATATTCACTTTTATTTTTTACTTTTTTTATCAGCTACCAACATTTTTTTTAGATCTATTTAGAGAAATTTACCTGAACACCAGCAATTATTGGTTTCAGAGGAAACATGTTTTTCCCATAATCTTTAATTCAGTTTTTTTAATAACTTTCTATATTTGCAGATATAAATGACAAGAAAAACTGCTACTGTTGAAAATGTCATTAGGCATGAAAAAAGACAGTGTGCCTTCTAAAGAAGAAGGAGAACTGTCGGATGAAGATGATGCTGAAGAAAACATAAGTAATGGTTCTAAAAGGAATATTCATTCTACAAGTAACAGTTTAATTATAAGAAGAGAATCATCTTCCAAACATATTTCCTCAAGGTATGGTTTCAGTGAAATCCATAACCGGCACACAGATGGGGGCAGTAAATCAAAACGAAGAGATGCCAAAAGCAGGCGGGCTGAAGCAGAAACTTCCCGCAGAAGTCACAGGTTCACGTATGACAGTGGTAGTCGGTTTCGTGAGCGCGCTGACTTTAGGCAGACTGCGGTGGTAGATAGCCACACTCCTTCAAAAAGTATCTTTTTATTAAAAAAACATATTTCAAAATGACTAAAAAGAAGTTAGAGGCAATCTGAGTTACTTGTTTAAAGATAAAATTGAAACAGAAGTAAAATTTAAGTAGATACGTTCGACTGCACTAAAGTACCATAATTTTTTTGCCTGCATGTTTTTTTTTTCTTAATAGTTCCCCCACAGAACATAGATATACTCATTAACCTAATTTCAAAATTATAATTTATTTAAATATAAACTGCACTGAAGCAATGCAATATCCCTTAGCCAAAAAGTTTGGGAAAATCGAAGATTTAGAGCATCTTCTGTAAAGCCAGCAACCTTGCCAAGAGAAAGTAAACCTCAGGGGCCTAAAACTGTAAGTTCAGCTGACACCATGCTTTACAACAGTACTAATGGGGATGCCACAGCTGAAGGTGAAGATGAGTTGGCTTTGCTGGAAAAAAAACAAGAGTTGATTAGAGACCAGCTTAAACACCTTGAGGAAGAGGAAAGGAAGGCTAATGAACTCAGTGGTAAGATGTCATTATAGTACTATTCAGTGAATGTGGAGTTGAAATTGCTTATCCTAACGAGAAGGTAACTTTACTTAATTTTTTTTATCAAATTATTGGTAGATGTCAATTGTGTATGTTATTATTTTAAAAAATGAAGGAATAATTTGTTTAAAGTGTTTAAGAAACTAATCAAAATAGAATGCATTCATGATTTTCTTTTTGACTTATATTGTCATTTCTTAGAAAACAGCCTGGGTGGAAACACAATAGGGTTTGTGACAACACAAATAGAAGATACAGTAAGCAGTGATCATATAGTAACAACTGTTCCTGTGACGGTAAGTAACATAGAAGAGACTGTAAACATCCATATCTTGTAAAAGACATTGCTGTAACTGTAAGTAACATTGAAGATACTGTAAGCAGTGAACCATTCCTGTGATGGTAAGTAACAGAGCATAATGTAAACAGTGATCATCTAGAAACAACTATTCCTGTGATGGTAAGTAACATAGAGCATAATGTTAACAGTGATCATCTAATAACAACCATTCCTGTGATGGTAAGTAACATAGAGTATAATGTTAACAGTGATCATCTAGTAACAACCATTCCTGTGATGGCAAGTAACAAATATTAAAAAACACAATGCATCACAGGGACCATCCATGTAGTACAATATTGATGAAACACTCTTTATAAATAAATGATATGAAAATGCAAATTATTTTTTATTTCAAATGAAGCAACAAAATACTACATCAGCCTTGTACTTTTTATGTCTTGTTGAGAAGTACTGATTTGGGTCTGTAGTCTGCATTCCTTACAGATACTTTAAAATAATTGCGAACCCAGTCCACTGTTACTGGTTCTGGCTCTCATTGCCAGGTCCCCTATATTGTGACTCTGATTCAAACAGCACTCTGGAATAAACATTAACACCAAAAGACTGTACACTTGCATACAGCTCTTCTTTTTTTAATGAAAAATTCACAATGTCTACATCAAAATGTAACCATTTTTTTTCCTCTCGCTTATACACAACTTAAATCCACATCTATCTCTACAATGGAAACAAGATCATAGATCACTAACACTTAAACTCCATGATCGCTCAACACAACCTGAGCTCATGACAGTCACACTGATAATCTAAAATCTCTTTTATGGAAACTGACAAACTAGTAACTACTCTAAATACTCTAAATAATGCACAAACTAGCTGATAAACACTGCACACTGACTGATGAAGAAGAGTATCAACTATTTTTCTGGTCACACTATATATCAATATCCTCACATCATGCACCATCATTGAATCACATTACAGGCTTCAAAAACTATACAGCCTCACAACTCACGACCCAAAAACTGTTCACCCATGACACAGTGAATCTCATACCTTGACAAGTACTAATAGTCTGATGCAATTTAAAAATTAATTTTTTTATAGTTTTTTTTTTTTGTCTGCATGTTTTGCATTCACATGCATTTGATGAGACCCTGGTCAAATCATGTTCAAAAAGAAAAATTATTAATGCCTTATTTTTTGTTTACTCATTTAAAACAAAAGGAGAATAATATTGGTGCAGAAGAGGACATGGATGAACAAGAGCTTCGCAGATTAGCTTTAGCATCATCTGAAAGACACAACAGACTGTTGGCTTTGGAACCTTCCATTGCAAATTTAGGTAAGATGTTATTTCTTATGGATCATACATTTTTGATCAGTTTTCAATATTTTAACTGATAAAAAGGCATTATATTTGTTTTATGCACACCTAGGTTTGATGCGCCGAGGAGTGGCAATGTTCAATTTGTTGCTCTATGATATAATTTTGTTTTATCTGTGAAGGTTTTGGTGCAGGTGAAGAGATTTCAATAGTGGATGTCCCAGATGCTGAGCCTGACTTACCAGAACCTGAAATTGTGGTGGTAGAAGAAGATGAGGAATGTGTTGTGACCGACAAGACAAGCAGCCTGACCAACAATGTTGAAGGGCAGAAAGAGGCCGGTGAGACATCTCATAAGGCCAAAAAACCAACCAGAAAAAAGAAAGAGAAGGTTGAGGTCAAGTCAACGGTGGTGAGTCTTGTCAATGAAAAGGCCAAAAGCAAAAAACAAAGAAGAGGAGAAAGCCAGCAAGGTAATTTAATTCTCAACTGTTTTGTTTGATGTACCTCATTATGTTGTCCTGTTTTGCTTTATGCAACACATAAACTTTCTGTTTTGGTTTAAGTAACTCAAAGTTGGGAACATGTTCTGAAAATTGGAATACAACCCAAAAATATAGAGTCCTGAATTTTATGCCAAATTTATTATGAAGACTGACTATGTTGTTATTCTTAAAGTTGTAGAATTTAATATTTAAAACCAAACTGCCTAATAAAGGATGGAATTTGTGTGGTGCCTGCTACTTGCAAGAATAACAATATTTATAGAATTTAGCAGCATACCAAAAATTAAATATTTAGTTCTTTCTATGTCACAAAATACTGTCTCTTATTTTATATATTGGGTTGAATAGTTTTATTATATATATATATATATATATATTTTTTTTAAAGCCATTAAGCAATATCATAAAAAAGAATCCAGTGACAAAACACACGCCACCATTGAATGGGCTCAGGAGTGTGAGCGACTGCGTGCCCTGGCGGTGTGTGACCGTCAAAAGGCTGTGGATCAATTTTTAAAGCTTATCGATAAGAAACACTCCAAAGAGATGCCTGTCACTGGCACAATGAAAGACTTCAAGGTAGGAGACATAATAAACTTGGTGGGTTTACTTTGTAATTTTATGATTTACTAAATAATTTGTGCGTTCCGTGAAAAAAAAATATTTATAACATGAATAAATTATGAAATTTTATATGTTTACTGTTGTAAAAGTGTTTTATTTCAAATTATTTGTCTGCACAGTCCAAATATCTGAAGAATGTTGTAATTTTTATATGAAATTAAAAATGTTTTGGGACACATCTGTATATAATGTAATTACTTCTCAGAGGCAAAAAAACATTCCCGTTTTGAGTGATAAAACAGATCAATTAAAGCCAGTTGTTGCCAAGAAAGTACAAGGGACTGACGTGAAATCCAAGACTAGGAAACTAGACAAGAAATCTGGTCAGATGCATGACAATTATGAAGAAGTGGAAATGGACATAGACAGTGATATAGAGAAGGAAAGTAGTCAAGGTAGGAGTGAGATGAGTTTTAATGAGTTATGGCATAGACTTGGGATGGTGAGCTGTGAAAGAGGTTGTTTGTTTCAAAGTAGTACCAGGGATAAAAAATGTTTCGTTTAAGAATGGAACAGTTAGTTGTAGTTTTTGCATGCACTAATAATAAATTAATTTTTTTTACAAACGTTAAAAATAAAAACTGCACAGGGTTTAAAAAGCATTATGTACAAAATATTGTAGACCTGCCAAAATGTGAAATTAGATAATACATTTTATGACTCCCCTTTTAAATTATCCTATGTTTTGTAAGCAGGCATTGCTAAAAGACATGTTCAATAAAATATTTGATATATTTGCCAACATATTCAGTTAGTTCTGACAAATTCGTTATCTGCTAGAAGAGGTTCACTTTGACAAAATCCGCCCTTCTGAAAACTCTCAAAACTGCCCCTCCGCCCCAACATACTCACCATTTATTTATTATATATAGACCCCAAAAGTGCTGCCCAGGACAGTCCACCTTTTTGCACCCCCTAGGTTTGCCATTGCAAAGTAGATCACCAAACGACATTTATAAAGTGCCCATTCCTGTAACACTGTGTTATAAAGGGAAGACCCGTTGGTGACTATTTACATCCGTGGTAGATTGGGATTGACATTCAGCACCATCCATAATTTCTTATTATTTATTTATAAAATTTTGAGTATTCTCACAGTATAATAAATGAAATGTTCATCTTCATTTGTTACAGAGAAAAAGTTACCTATGGAAAAACTGCAACTAGGAGCTGATTTTATGAGAGCCATGCAACCAGTTTCAGCCTATGTGAGTCTATTTTGAAGCAAAGATATTTCTTTTAGCCTAAACTTCTCAAGCCAAACTTTCTAAATTTAGTAATTTTAGTAGCTTTTGAATTTTACAATGGCACTGAAGCATCATATCTTCTGTTGAGATGTCAATTGATGTATTACTCATGGTGAACTACCCGCATGGCCTTTATTTGATAGTTTGCATAACATGAACATTACCTCGTCCTATTATCTTTGAAACCTGTATCTTCCTCTGAATCTCACTACAAAATAAGCGTGATCCATATAGTAAGGTTTTTTACATGTTCAATAACAAATGGAAATAGTTTTACCTAATAACTTTAAAAAAAAAAAAATTTGAAATTTCGAACATTGTCAAATTAAAAAAAATAAATAAAATTTACATCACTTTCTCCATTACTTATTAATAAGATTGAGATTAAGAAAAATCTATTTCCCTAATAGACATTATTTTATTATTTGGAATAATCAATACATTCTGTGTCTTTTCAGAATTTTGATTTCCCAGATCCAATACAGAGCACAATGCCTGTTCAGCATAAAGCTGTTATCCCAATGTCTCACTACGATCCTTTTCAAACATCTTTACCACTGCAAATGCCCCATCTTCCACCTCTGCCGCCCCCTCCTCCACCCCCTCCCCTGCCTCCACAGGAATCTGAAACACACCATCAGGAGTGGCTCTTGAGGAACCCTTATCATGGATCCTTCCCACCCCTGCCTCCTGTGGAAAGTGCTCTCACAGCTGACTTGGTCCATGCCAGTGCTCCACCACATTTACCATATCCATCTGAATCTATCATAGCAAGACAACTGCATCGGCTCAGGGAGGAGCAGGAAAGACAGGATCCTTTCCTGTCTGTCTTGAGTAATACAGGAGAGAGTGCCAACATTGGTAATACACATGGCACTAATGTAACCCTACGACAACCTGGCAAATCTGAAAGATTCAAGTACACAGAGGATTTAAAACTAAATAGCTCCTTTAGAGAAAAGATCGACTACTCTTCACTTGATCATTTTTATCCAGAGACGAGCAGAGCTCATGACGAGCAATATCTTCAGCAGGGGTTATTTTCTCTGTCGGGTGTGAGACCGAAATACTCCCCACCAAAGGATACCATGGAATATGCCTATCAAGACAGAACCGTTGTTTCACAGTCGGACAGGTCAGAGTTTACATCGGGTGAGGACTATGACAGTAGATATTTAGGAAAAGATTCATTGGCATTCTCACCATCTTATAGAAGAGGCTCACCACCACCGACATACAAAGACAGAAGAGACACAGTTGGCATGAGCAGATCGTACACTGATTTAGGCAGTCAAGATAAGCCTACTGGGCAGAGAAGGGGGCTGTCTCCATTGCCATATTCCAGGACTAGATTTATTGAGAATAGGTCCCCCAGTCCCATTCAGACTTTAAGAAGAATAACTAAACCCAAGTATGTGTCAGGGGATGGTACAGAATCCCTTCATTCAACCGGCTTGCTCAAGAGGGGAGCTTATCCATTGGACCATAGGGGAAACAGTTTACCATATAGTAGCTATCAGATGAATGATTCAAGGGAAAGGAATGACAGAACATCATACAGCCCGCAGCCAGATTCGAGGAGCCCACGTGCTGTCAAACGTCAAAGGTTTTACACATCCCCAGTATCGGACATTCCAAAAGGAAGCTTGAGTCCATCTGGTTCGGCAGCTGGGCAGTATGAGCCGGAAGCCCCGCCAAACAAGCAGTCAAGATACGCAACTCCTCCGCCGTACATCCCCACCTCCATCAAGGCGCCCTCGGGCTCAAGGCACAACATGGGCAGTGACCAACGTGGCTCAGACTCTGATGAGGATGACAACTTAATGAGGGCAAAATTATTGGCCAATGTAATTGATAAGAGAAAATCAAAGCTAGAGGTGAGCAAATGTGTTCTGTGTGTAGTAAGTGTAAGTTTCATTGTCAGGCTGGTTGTTAATCCCAGTGTCAGACAATTTGCAATGTTGCTGTAGGTTTTTTAAAGGGGGTCACCAAGCATATTATTTTTATATTGTGCGACAAAAGATTTATGTTTCCATAAATTTAATGATTTATTTCCAAAAGACAAGGGGGAAACTTCACTGTTGAAAAATATGTTTAAAAGTGCATTTAACAAAAAAAAAAAAACAATAGTTTTGAAATTCACAGTGACAATGATATTATAAAAGAGATGTATCATTGAAATGTATCAACTGAATCTTGAGTTTTATTATGATTTCTATTTACTGACGTTCTTCTACATTATAGCATAAGATTCATTACAATTAACCTGATCACAGCTGCCATTAACTCTAGCTGTACATGTGACCAAGACTTTGATCTATCTCCCTCAGGACTTGTCCAGCTGTTCATCACCATCACTAGCATCCCCCAGGTACGGCTTGGTACATTCAGAATCATTGGACTCAATGGGTATGATAGAAAACGGTGAGAATATTTTGAACTCACCCCGTTTGCACGGGAACACGGCAAGGGCATATGCTTCTCAGAGTGATGAGGACGATGATGAGGATTTGAAACCTCCTCCAGTGCTGAGCAAACTCCTCCGTCAAGCCAATCAACCCTTACCTCTGTCTGTGCTGAGCCAAGAGAAAATGGCTCATGTCAGTGCTGCCGGGTTAGTTGTGAGGCAGCAGGAAGTAAATATACAGCAGCGTCGCTTTAATCAAGCAGAACCTCCAGCAATGCACGCAAAATTAAATGTTGCATCATTAGAAGATCTGGGTCTTAAAGTTCAAGGTCAGTCTGTCATTGAGCCAGGTGAGAGTGACTTAAAAAGCCACCAATCTGAGATGAAAATATGTCCTGCTAAAATGAATTCTTCGCTGATCACAGATGCTTCCATTCGATCATCGTCACCTATTGAAAAGCCCTCTTTTTCACCAGATATTGCCAATAGGTTAGGCTCTTCTCTTTTACAGGGATCCATCAGTTTACCACAGACCAATATTCAAGTTCCACCCACTTTGCAAAGCCCATCAACTATTTTGGAAACTTCAGGGTTGCAGAAGGCATCAACTACCAGTATATCTCAGAGGTTAGGACCAGAAACAGCTCCTAATGTCAGCCAGTGGTTAGTACCAGAGACAGCTCCTAATGTCAGTCAGCGGTTAGGACCAGAGACGTCTCCTAATGTCAGTCAGAGGCTAGGACCAGAGACGTCTCCTAATGTCATTCACAGGCTGGGTCCCCCTGTACCTAGTAATTTCAAAGTTGCTGCCCCCCATCTGCTGTCAGCTGTACCACAGCGCCTGCAGTCTTCCAAGTCATCTTCACCCACCAGATCTGTCACCCTCAAAGATATGAACCAGAATTCACTCGGCTCCCCTTCCAGTCCATCATCAGCGAGTGATTCTCCCCACAAACCCTCTGCTGTCACCAGTGAGAAGCCACGGAGCCTTAACTCTTCAGCTCACAGCGATTCAGTCAGTGGTAAACCTGTTAAGGTAAAGACCTCCCTTCACTCGGCTCATCAAGATGTAGGTTTTGAAACTCTTAGGACGGCCTCTCCCATTAATGATGTGCCGAGTCCCCCCTCAGTCGGCTCCTTACAGAGTCTTGCCACAGGTGCTGCTGTACCAACTACCAGTAGAAGACACTATGGCCAGGTAAGTGGGAGAAAATATTTGCACTTGAGATAGTGCAAGTAAAAAAGTAGTTTATTTGCCTCTGCAGCTTTCCTTACATCCCCTAGACATGACAGTTATACCAATACAAATTTTTTTTTAATGTCACGTTCAGGACCCTAATATAAATGTGGTAAAAGAGTATGAAAGCTTATAAATTTTAATGATGTAATCCTTAACTCACATGTTCTTTATCAGAGAGAGAGAGCTAGAGCTTATTTTTGCAATAATGTTTTCTTCATTGGACCTCATAATTTTTAAACAATAAATTAGGTACCAGTATTACTTATGGTTTACATTTTTATTAAAATTTTTCAAAATTTGGGCATTTTGTAATGAATATAATTTACTAACTTTGGCTGAATTCTGAAATATGAGCAATATTACAGAGTGACATCAAATGTAAACCAATCTTTTAAGGTATAAGCCAAAAAAGCCATGGTTTTGGCACTCCCCCCCCCCTTTTTTTTTTTTATTCCCCCCAATATTTAAATAGCTTTTTTCCAAATGTATACAAATAAATTTGTATTTTAACTCCATGTACCTTCTCTCAGCTGTCTCAAGCATTGCCCATTCATCCTCAAGTTGTAGTGCCTCTGGGCTCATCTGACAGTGAAGATGATGATGAACAAGGAGATGGTTTCCAGAGAAAAGTAAGATTAACATGTAGTTGTTTTGTTTTGGTACTTCAAGGCTTCTGGAACATGTTTATGTAATGTCATCTAATTTCAGGCTTCGAATGTTCACATCAGTGGTTTCATAAGATTAATTTACACTGGAATAGTTGGTTGATTTTCTTCTTATATTTGTTTTGGCATACTAAAAAGAAACCACCAAGCTATATATTTATTCCATTTAAAGAAAGCCCTCGGTGAAACAAGTGAGCAGGAAGTTCTGAGAAAACAAGAAATTTACCTCAGCATGTACAGGTGAGCTTTAGTATTTCTAAACTTAATTCAGCGAGCAAACATTTGTTTATATTTGTGATGTAAATATTAGTTGGGATAAAAAATTACCTTGCTCTTACCTTAAAACAAAGCTGGCTAATAATAATAATAATAATAATAATAATTGGCTTGTTATTCACCAGGCAAAAAATAGAAGAAGATCAGGAAATGGTCAAACAGCTGGTTAATAAGGCAGTCAAATTCCAAAAATTACAGCAGCAGGCAGAGAAAAAACGAAGTAGTCTTCAAGCTAAGATTGCTGAACTTGCTGAGCAGTTGAAAGTTGCTGACAAATTTGCCAAGATACACAAGATTCAAAAAGAAGCTACTGAAAAAGAGGCAAGTTTGGTTTTTTAAATTTATATTAAAAAAAATCACAATGTAAGTTTGAAATTATCATCATTATTGAAATTAACATATAAAAAATCATTTTAAAAAAAACAACATTGTCATAAAAATTACAAACTAGTAGTTCACTTGAATAAACAAATCTGCACCAACGGAAAATTACCCAAGTCATTCTCATTGTAGGAAACATTTGATGGCGGGTCTGTTTATTCATGAAAAATCTCGGCTCTCTGTTTAAAATATTGCAACAAAACCTGCTCATGTCTGGGCCACATGGGGAAAAGTTAGGTCAGGAGTATCTCCATTTCTGTTGGAAATTCACTAGGTCTGGTGACGATTGAGGCCGTAAGAGTCAATACAGTCCACTATTAAAACCACACAAAATAAATCCAGATATTTTCCACACAGAACAGTAGACTTGGAACAGACAACACTTTGAAATACCTTGTAAATTTGCCCAACCAAGCCTATCCACTCACAGCACATGTTCCTACCTTCATTTGTTGTGATGAACTTTTTGTCCATTCCAAAGTATAGTTGGCTACGGATCGGTCTCAGTCTTTGAAAATGCCTTATCCCTTTGTAATTCCAAGCAAACTACTTACGTTATTTCTTAGGTCACTTCAATATCTCTATTGACTCTGCGGGCAACTTCTTTGAGTTCTGTCACCAGTCCTAGTTTGCCGATCAGTGCATTAGACCAATATTCAGTTATTGTATAGAATTATCAACTCTTTGTCGAGCTCTCTATTTCTTTTTTTCAGATACAGCATGTGACAACTGTAAGGCTGGTAAAGACCAAGTCTATTTTTGCTGCAAAGCAGAAAGATGTTCTTACATTGGGAAAAAAATTATTGGGTCCTTCTTACGTGCCACGGCTAATAAAAACACCATTATCTTCGGTAGGAATATTGTACTTAAAATATTGGGTCCATCTTATGTACCACTGCAAAAAAAAACAGTATCTATGGTAGGATTTCTGTACCTAGTTATCAAAGTTGTTGAAAGAAGATTTGGTGTTATGAAAATCTGCAACATAAACCAATGCAACTCTTATTTTAGTGTTTAATTAATAAAAGCTCGCCCTAATCTATTAATGGCATTCATGTTCTTTTTTTTTTTCATAACAAGCAACAGTGATGGAACAACAGTTGTGGATGTGTGTTGATTTCATGTTTCAGTTTAGGGGTACCTTTTGCTGTGATAGATTCTGTGTTAACGCCGTATTAATTTTTGTTTGCCTAGGTTTTCATTCTAAAGTTGCATTGTTTGTTTTACCCCCTCTTAGATCTCATCACAGTCTAAAAAACAACCTTTAACACGAGCCCAGTACATAGCGTTAGAAAAACAGAAGCTCAAAGAGAAGGAAAAAGAAATAGCAGAAAGATTGAAGAAATTGAAAGAGAGCAAACAATCTGAAAGAGCCATACCATCTACAACAAAATCTTCACCTGTTCCACAATCAAGGCTGCCTGCATTGAGACCTAAATCCCAGGACTGGATCAAAATTGACCAGAACGCCCAGCCGGACATTATAATCAAACAACGTAGAAAATCATTGCTGGATGCTAATCCTTGTACAACCCCTAATATCCCCTTGACCCCTCACAGCAGGTTGAGAGGGCCTTCATTTAAGGAGAAAGAGAACAAGATTGAAGATGTGGTCAAAGATTTAGACAAAAAATCTTCTGCTGTGCAAGATAACACCAAGCTATTCAAAATGCCTAGTGGTACACAGCTCCTGAACCTTTCCAAGCTTCAGGTAAGTAGCATTTGATGTGGTTTTTTTGTACCTTACATTTGACAACAGCTTATTTTGTTATCTCAAGCCAAGTTGGTTGCTGACTTTCAACTTTGTTGTTTGAGTTTTGTTGTTTGTTTTTTTTACTCATGCTTGACCTCTGGTCCAGTAAATGTCTGCTTTACTGTGCTGATGGTCCATACCACCTGGTGCTGTGTCCAAAGAAAAATTAACTTCAAATTATTTTTTTATGACAAAAAAGTGTTGTTGTTAAATTGTTTCAATACTTGTGTTTGGAAAATATAAACTAAATTAATGCCTAGTTCTTTTTTTTTTAATTATAGAATAATTACCTCATTTATGTTGTTTAATTATATTATGTTCTTTAATAATTAATAGCCTGAAAAAAAAACAACAAAGATTTATGTTTTATAAATTTGTTTTTAAGGAATAAAGCTATTAATTCACTTTTTAAACTTCTGACATGCTTACTTTAATTGCATCATATCTTTTTTTTTCCTCCTCATCTAGGCAGAAAAAGTTGAAAAGCATTTAAAGGTCACTAAATGTGTAACTCCGGTTTACCTACCATTTGCAAGTCTTTCACAAATACGGGTTGGTTATTGTTGTACATTTATATTTCCATAAAACAAAGCTTAAAAAAATTCTGTCAGTATCGTGTAAATAAGAACTCCTCTTACATTAAATTGTTTTTGAAGTATTATTATTTATTTTAGATGAGGTGTTTTTAGATTTTAGGCTACTAGTAGTTTTTTTTTTAAAATTACACTAATGGCTAAAGTGAAGACACATCTTTTTTTAAAAAGTAAATTAATTAATTAATTTTTAAAAGATTCAACTTCTAATTATGAGGAATGTGCATGTTCGTTTCAAACTCACCTTAAATAAATTAATAGTTTGAAGATGTTTATACTAACTTTACAAACAAAAATGGTATGACAATAACAACTACATATTTCAGCCATCATCAAATCAGATAACATTGCATAGTGGTAAAGACAAAGCCAAAACTTCATCAGAAAGTGAAATGTCACAACAATCAGCTGCACTAGCATACTCCAGTCTATTGCTAACATTTAGATCCTACAGGTAAGGCAGAACATCAAATAATACACTATTTTTAAATCCTTTATATCAACTTCACTTATTTTCATGTGTTTCTTTGTGGAAAAATCTTCGGAAGGTTAATTGACCTACTTTCTGACATCCTATTGAGCTGAAACTTTGCACACTCACTTGTTGCTGACAACACATTCTTTCAAATTTTTAGCCCCACTCCCCACCCCCAAAAATTTGTTTTTCCATGAGAGGAGGAATTTTAATGATTGTTCAATGGTTGTGTGTTTTGGTGTGGAGATTAATTGTATTGCTGTTGCTACGTGCTTTGTATTTGTGATGTATTTGGGTTTAAACTGTATCTTGAGTTTATTAGGTTTACATGCACTAAGTTTGATAAAAACCATTCACATACCACAAATAAGTCACTACAATCACATGAATGATTAATCACGTAAATTACATAAATGCAAACAAAGGATTTATATGTAAAACTTTGTTTTCAAGAGTTGTTTAGTTATAGAAATAAAGGATAAACTTGTGATAATCTTTATTATTATTTAACAAGTAAACGCAATTTAAAATTGTTCTTTTTTCTTTTTTTACAAATTTGATTTTGGACTATGTTTTTTTTGAGATGCATTTAAAAAGAAAATACTTTTTCTAAATTCACAAGTCAATTTGGTTATAGCTTGTTTTAAAGTAAGTCTGTCTTGAAACTCAAAGAACTGTCTATCTTGTTTTCCTTTTCCACAGGTTCAGTTCTTTTTTCCGCACTAAAGAGAATCTGGGTTTCCAGAGTAGTACTTTTTCCCATAAGATCAATCCTCACTGCATCTTCTGCCCGTATGACCTACAGGGAACATGCAATGATGACTCTTGCAAACAGTGAGCAAGTGGTTATTAATAGCTTAAGCACATTTATTATTCAAATTGAAATAGAAAAAAATAATGTGATGTAAAACAATTGGGCATCACATACCTGAAGACAATTCAAGTGAACAGTATTCAGGTTGTTTTTTGTTTTTTTTACAAGGGAACATAATTAAATTGGAGTAGTTGAAACTTCTGAAGGCAGACAAAGATTGTGACCAAAAGCTAGTTGTATCCCTATAGATAACACTTACCCTTTGAGTTGGGAGCTCATTTAAAATTTGTTTTTCATGATCAAAAAGATGAATTGTTGAATCATTTCAGACAACATCCCAAAGATTACCAGCTGAGTGAAACTGAGATCCTACTAGACATTGTCTCCTACTGTCCCAAAATGGCTGGTGCTCAGGAAGGAGCTTCACCAGATGAGATCAAGAGTTGCGTTGGTGAGCATGCTTGAGAAAATTAAGACATGAAATAATAGTGTACATAGAGAACAAGGATCAACATGGATGAATGACAGAAAAGATCTCAGCTCTATGATTGAAGCTTCATAAATTAAAAGTTCCAAATCACAGTGGTCCAAGGCCATCATCATTAGGGTAAACAATTTATTATTCATGCTCGGGCCAGAGTACCAACACCATGGTCAAGTTACATTGCTTGGTTACAATGCACTGTAGTCAGCTGAAAATCTCCAAGGATCCAAATTCCATTTGTGACCACTTTTAATTTTAACATTAACACTCCCAAGGACTGATTTCTCTGCCACCCTCACATCCTCTCTTTCTTTTTTTTTTTTTTTTTCGAACTGTTTCTGGGATTATTCATGTATCCTTCAAAAAATAATAGTGTGCTTAAAAGTGTGTTATTTTCATTGTTGCTCTACAGGTTCATATGTGGACAATGGTCTGTTTTTAATTTTACCATTAACCCCCCCAAGGACTGATTTCTCTGCCTCCCTCTCTTCCTCTCTTTCTTTTTTTTTTTTTTTTCGAACTGTTTCTGGGATTATTCATGTATCCTTCAAAAAATAATAGTGTGCTTAAAAGTGTGTTATTTTCATTGTTGCTCTACAGGTTCATATGTGGACAATGTTCTGAGTAAAAGAAAAGGCAAGATGACAATAGATGAACTCTGCCTCTGGCTGTCTGCTGAAGCCAATTCAACATCTGGGAAGCGTATGTTAAACTTCCACTGTGTTCTGTATGATAAGTGAACTTTTCTAGCTTTAAGTATTCACAGCTATTTAAAACATGTATGTTACAACATTACAAGGTATGGAACTTACACAATGATGTAAAATATGTATGTCACAAGGCATGGAATGCATTCTCAGGTCACCCACACATGATAAGCCTTGAGCCAAGGAAATGGAAGCCACAGCCCAAGGATGAGACTGGCCTGAGCTTACATTTGGATCACAGAGTTACCATGAAGGGGGCAGAGGCCATTAGTGAGTTGTTTTCCCTTCACAATTTGATTAACTGCTAATATTAACTATGTTCATAACAATTTCTTTAAATGCGATTTGTGGGATAGATACTTGTAATTTGTTATCTATTTACTTATATTATAGGATTCTTGAATTCTTTTATTTATATTTCTTTTTTTCAAAGTCCATGTTGTGCTTAGATTTTTGCAAATGCCAAGCTTGAGCTATAATTGTTATTTGGTCCATAGATGTGGAAAGAAGGCAAGTTGTTGACAAAGATGCCATCATCAATGAGGAAGATGTGAGGTATTTCACTGCTGACATCACTGAGCTCCTCACCCTGGAAGCTGGTATTATGGAGGACCAGACCAACACTGACCTTTGGCAGAGGCTGGCCATGAAGAAACTCACTGATCCCAACAAGTAATTGGTTCTAACATTACTTTCAGTCCATCGTGGAGAATGCAATATTTAAACATTGTGGCTTGTTAGAAATTTTATTTTGAGAAAAGTTAAATTGAACACTTTGAAGTTGATCAACTAGAAAATCCAAAACAAATTTCTATTATTTTATTTGAATTCTGTTTATTAAGAAAAACTTACTTATTCTTAGCGGCACATTGGTTACTGCTTACTTAAACCTCAATAAAAACTCCATAGCGGTGATGTTAATTTCTCGAGATGAATGTTGGACACATGGATGGATTTGGACAAGTTGGCACATTAATTGTGGCACAGCAGATTCTGCAATTATGAATAACACCCTTGTTATTTTACAAAAATTGTGTTTTTAAAAAATTTTTAAATAACTGCTCGGGGCTAAGCCTCCTAATCTATTGATTCATTATCTATATGATCTTCTATATTACAGGTCACAGAAGCAATGCTTGGACCAAGCTCTCAATGTTTTAGCTCGTGGTTTGGAAGTTAATAAGGAGAGTGCAGAACTCTGGCTGCTGTATTTAATCTTGTATAAAAGACATCCTGATGTTAAGGATTTTCTCCAGTTTTGCCAGACTGCATTGGAATATGCTCCTTCATATGATATATGGTTTTTGGTGAGGATGAAATTACTTAAAATAAATCGGGGCAAAATATGGTTTTGATAATTTTATTGTTGTGGGTAAAGTTTTATTTTCTTTTGTAAAAGTGACCGTCACCCCAATTTTTTTTTTATCTTGTTCGCAGTACCTGTCTTCTCTGAAAACATTCCCTGAGAAAGATGAGGCCTGCACACAAGCCCTTGAGTTTCTCCACAAGACAGATCAACAACACACAATGGCGGTCACCTCGACCAAATCCACTGGCCCACTTAAAGATGTAAGGACCTCACAGAAGGTGAACAGTTCAGGGAGCAGTGATGACCAGCAAGACAATGTCCATGAATTTAATAAAAGGCCAGTGCCTAAAAGTTCACAAGAATTAGGTTATAAAACTTCCACCAACCCAGTGTGTGAGAATGGCTCAGAAACAACCCATATATGGACACCAACTGAAACCAACTTAGATATTACTTCACATTGCAATATAGAGGCGGGAGCTGATATTACCAGTATTAATTCTAATGCACAAAGCATCTGTGATAAACAATTTGTTGATGGCTCTGTAGGAAATGTGGAGAAGACAGATAGTGGTGAGCCTGTAAAGTGTGTAGGAAAAAGTTTTGAAACAAAAGAAGCAGTTGAAAATCCCGGAACAAGTAGACAGGTGTTTAAGAAGAGATCGCATCAAGTGTTGGAGATGATCCTCTTAAAGGCAGGACTTAATTTGTACGCTGGAAAATTTAAGACAGCCCTTCATTTCCTTCAGGTCGGAAATAAATCTGTTACATTTTCTTTTTGACAAATTACATATTTTATTTATCTTTAATTTTGATTGTTACATTGCTTGTTATTTTAACAAACACTAGCAATTATTCAGAAGATAAAGTGGCTAAGACACCCTATTGTTGTTGCTTTCATTGTGTAAGGCCAGATCAATCTGTGCATATCACATGTTAAATTGATCTGAGCTTTGTTTCTGCAACAACCCCCTCATGTTTACTCTGAATGTTTTTTCAGTCTGTCCTGGGCTTAAAGAAAGTTCCAGACCTCCACCTAAGGCTAGTGGAGCTACTGACCAGCTCTGATTTACTTGTTCTGTGGTTGAGCTACATTTATGTTCTTGAATGGCGCCACTTGCCACCTTGCTTATATAGCATTTCAAATGAGAATCCTGGAAGGCTATTGTCCAAGGTGTGTTTTTGTGTAGATTTGTTACTTTTGTGTCACAATGAAATATATTATGAGATTATTTTTTTTGCATGTTTTCCTTTCTGATCTTTTATATTTAAAAATGTTTTAATGTCTTATCTTTGTGTTTATATATTCTTCAATCATATTGATTTCACTGTATTATTTATAATTTTTACACGTTAAAATATTTTTAAATTAATAATCTGCCTGCAAGTTGTGACATTGAGATATATGTATGATTCAATTTCAGTACATGACTTAATTTCACTTAAAATCACCTAGTTTCACTATGGATTAAGATAAATTATTGCTAATATTCAATCAGGACCATATTACCTTGCCCTGGTCTTCTAAAAGCGATCTCCATACTTCTGTGGACAATCTGGTGAATCTGCACCAAACAGCCATGAAAGTTTGGACAACTAGTGAGAAAGATTCGGAGACCATGGTGCAGTACACCAAGCTGGTCCAGTCTCTTGTAGCTCTCTACTTGTCACAGGGGAAGTAAGTAGTCATTTTCTCAAGGGAAGTAAGTAGGTATTCAGCAGGAGAAGGGGCTTTGATAGCAAACAAATTTTCCTTTCCCTTCAGCATGCTGTGTTTATTCAGTTCATGTTGCATTTAGTCAGTTAATTTTGTGTTTGGTCATTTAGTTAAATTTGCAATTATTCAATTAATGATCACTGAAAAATTTCTAATTGATATCTAAAATTTCTTCATTATTGGATTTTTAAAAAAAATTAAGTATGTAATGCTTTCAAATATCATATAAAACACTTCTAATTCATTTGATTTACACTTTAACTTACAATAAATCTCTGAATCAATTTTGTTTGGATTGAACTATATTTAAAAGGATAATGAATCACCTTCTGCCTCATCTGGCCATAAAATCTTCTTTTGGAATTCTAGGTTCTAAAATGATAACATTGTTTTATAACTCAAAGTGTTACGAAACTTAACTTTTTTTTGCTGTTGAAGCACATCTCTTGGTGCTGTGAGTTGCTTCTATCCTTTCTAGATAAAATCACTTGAATTAGCTTAAAATAGTTACATTTCTAGTAGTGAATTGTATGTGGGGCTTACCATGTCTGTGTTAGTAACAAAAAATTAAATGTATGTTAGTCTGGGAAAAGCATGAGTGTGAAGTTAGAATTTATTTCATATAGGGGAACATATGGTTGAATAGCTATAGGTTATCTTGTATGTTTAAAGTGTGGGCCCTGTATTTCAGAGCTGCAGAGGCAGCCACAGCTTGTAAAACTGTTTTGATAGATCAACAACTAGTAGATATTTGGATGACCACGGCAGACTTGTATGCTTCCTCAAATCATTATGAAGGTGCTATTCAGGTAAATGGAATATTTTTTTTAATGGATTTCAGAGCACATTAGTCAACGTTTTTTAAATTCCTAAATCTAGGATAATGCTGCTGTTCTGTTGACCTATGTTACAAGACTTTTCTGTTGAGGTCTATATTGATGTCTCTATTAAGAACTCTGTTGATAACTTATTTCACCTAAGTTCATTAACTTGATAGATTTTATCAACATGGATTAGATGTGTTTGATTACATTTTGTAACAAGTACTGACCTTTGTTGCCAACATACGATATTATGAACAGTGAGTGCACCAGTCATACGTTATATTTAAATGTTGTAAATTGTGAAAGAAATGACTATGATTGATATTATTCAAAAACTATGAGTAACGTAACAGTATTTAAACTTACTTTTATTATAGTTAAATTCAATAGACTATTATAATTTAGAGCAATGGCCCAGTTTGTATCATTTACGTGTGGTGTATGTTAAATACTGTCTTGTGTTGTATGCAGGTGATACAGGATGCTTTGAGAGCTCACCCTTACAGCACCAAGCTTCAGTTTCATCAAAATTTATTTCTTGCTTCAAAGGTAATCAAATTATTGAGCCAATGGTAGCTGTGATGTGGTAAATCTTTTCATTTGTTCTGCCTGTAAATGAAGACGCTGATACCTTTCATCATAATGATAAAACAGAGTGCTTTATAGAGTTAATGAAGTGATACTGACGGCGTTAATTTACATGAACTGCACCTTGGTGTTGACTCAGTTGTAACTCTATATTTATGTTGGTCCTCCATCAGGGTGAAAGTGAGCTTGCACTGAAGAACCTAGAGCAGTTTGTGATCTCACATTTTGAGGCAAGCTCTAAACTTCTCCACCATTTAGACCCAAACCTTCTCTACTGGTAAGTGAAGCACTAGTTGCTGTGACCAATTTGGTGACCTGTGACATTATCATTAGTCAGAGATTTTTTTATACTTCTGGTGATTTTTTAAATTTAAAATGTAAATTTTTTTGATGGACTTGGCCAAGAATTTGCATTTAATTAATTACAATAATGACGTGAATAAATCACTAACTTCTTTAATTTAAAAAAAATACATATGTAGTTGAAAAATAAAAGTTTATCTCTTGCAGTCAACTTTTAAAACAAGAAGAGGCGCTTCACCTTCGCATGGCAAGACTGAAAAAAGACATTCCAAATAATTTACACAAAGACACTTACATGTGGTTATGTTACAGGTATGTATGTGTTGCAATACTTTTTTTTTTTTGTTTTTTTTTTGGATACAAATTGTGTGAAGTAAGGATTGAATTAGCATGCTTCTCGTGCCCATGTTTCTAGGCTCTAGACTAAAACATCAAAACTTCAGTCACTCGTAGTTCTCAATCCCCTAAAAGATGGGATGATTAAAAAAAAAGAGAGAGACAAGATTGAGTGTGACATTTAACAAGAAAGACTACGATTAATATTTCATGATGGTGACATAAAATTCGCATAGATAGTTGTCCCCTGCCAACATTATCATGATATATTCAAATTTGTTAAGGTTTTAAATGGAGAGAATAAGACAAGCAAAGCGCATCTATTTCTTTATGACTAAGCAGGTAATTGTGTGTATATTTTGACATGTGTTGTGAGCAAGTTTATTTGCTTTGAGCATCTCATTGCAGTCTGCTGATGGAGTTACAAGGGGAGACAACAGACACCATTGAAATCTATGAGAAGTCACTAACTCAAGCACATTCTCCTGAAGATCTAGTTGTGATCTGGCAGAAGTAAGGAATAAAAGTTGTAACATCATCTTAGTTTAAGTTTTACACTACCCATAAATCAAGGACTTTGTAACTTAGCTAAAATTTACTCTCTCTTAAAAAATCTGTATAATTTGTATGGTTTATGTCATTTTCCTAATGATTTTTTTTTTTGAATGATATAAATGTTGAATTTTGTTTGTGACCCAGATAATTAAAAAAAATATTCAACAGTTATATATCATACATTGTGAGATCTGGCTGTGGGTTCAAGGATGTACGAGACATAATCTGCCGTTCTATTATCTCAATGCCGACAAAACGGGACATCCCATTTTCTTCCTCACCATCTGCCACCTGGCTGGATTACACCCATTACAACCAGTTGGTGGAGTCCTGGCTCTCTGTTCTGCCTGTGGAAGACAAAGTGAATCTCATGGAGATGTGCCTCAGCTTTGTACCCGGGAATGTCCAGCTGTTACTACGGTAATGTTCATGCCAGGAGCACACTGATGAGCTCAGTTGGAAACAGTTTTAATGTCATTGGTTGTGAAAGTATGGGTCATGTAGAACATTCAGAGGGTCACAGCAAACACTGATCAATGTTGTCAATTTAAATGTTTGTTGAAATGGATCATTATGGTGCACTAAAGGTTAACTCATAGCTCATGGGCGTTTGTTAGGAAAATGATGGATTGAAAGTTGGGTTCAACGGAGCCTGAAAATAGTTCTTTAAGATTCAAAAAAAAAAAATGCAAATATAGACAGACACACACACACACACACACATATACAATAGTCCTTGAATTGTATGAATTATTTCATGACAGAAAAAACAAATGTTCATTTTAAATTCATTTATACACAGAAAATTTTTAGAACTTTTTTCTGATTTGATGTCAATATCCAGTGTAAACAGTTGTTAAAAAAAAAAGCAGTGTTATAGTTTAAATTTATAGTATAAAGTATAGACATTGATTTGTCTGTTTTTAAAGTATACAATGAGGCTAATCCTAAGGTTATTAAAGTGATCTTTTTTAGCAATTATAAAGTGATTTTGTTGACCATTTCACTAGTAAATTCAACTTGAGTAAATTAATAAAGGCCAGATGCCGAGATCCTGTGTTAGAAATACCAAGTCACTATTTCCACTCAGAAACCATTGTTTTATTTACTTCTAGAGCTGTTGATCTGTGCGTGGAGCTGAAGGAAACCCGCCGGGCCTACAGCTGGTGTAAGATGTCAGCTGCTCAAGTTGATAGGCCAGCAACTGCTGCCTTCTGGAAAATGTGAGTGTCCTACATTTTTTTTTCAAATTTTGCCATTATCTATTGTGTATGATTTATAATTTACTGATTCAATGTATGAAATTATGGGGATGTGGCATACAAAATATGAAACCGGAATATAGTTTTAATATTTATGGAGCTTTGATGAAGAAAATGTAGGCTAAGCTTTGATTTATTTTCAATGTATATAATTCCTTTACAAACACTTTCTTTTTGTTTAACCCAACTTTACTTCCCAGGGCTGTTGCACTTGCACATATAGAAGGCACTCAGAGAGAGGTATCTATCTATAAACTGTTTAACAAATAAACATAAATGTATAATTAATGCATGGGTATGTTATATTGAGTTACTTTAATTGATATTATTATAAATTGTTATTAAAAGCCTGCAACTATCTATCTGTCTGCTTGCATTCTCATCTCCTTGCAATGCACATCATTTTACTTTTGTCCAATGAAAGCCTGATGTTTCAGGTGGAGCAGATGTTGATTGGCTGTGTGGAGACTATGCCTCTTGCTGTTTCAGGATGGAAAGATGTAAAAGAAATCTGTTGTTGTTGTGTCCTTAGAATACTCAATAAGCTGGCAGTAGTTTATTCCCTAAAACAGCATAGATTATTAAGAAAGGAATTAATGTTTCATTTCAGTGTAGTTTCTTTTAATAAAATTCTTCATAAATTTTAAGGCTTTGCTGGAAAAAAAAAATTTTTGAATGTATTTTCAAGATACTTAAAAGAAATTTTAATCTTAAAGACATAACTCATTTTTAAATCTTTTATTCAGACACAGGTTAGAGTTTACAGAGAGATTGACTGTAGTTGTAAAAATATGTTCTTATTCAGTGTTTCAGGAGACTTAAAATTTAGAGAGAAATACATTGTTTTTCATGTTTTTTTTTTAAAAAAAATGTAAGAAAAACCTGAATAGTAAAAAAAATTTTCATTGAGATTATGTTTCTGATTTTTTCAGTTCCTACTGTTTGAGGTATCACGGGAAAACTTGGGAGCAGTTGAAATTTTGCTGACTCATTGTCGCCAGTTAGGACTTAATATAGACGGATTTGTGGCCACGATCTCGGCCACATGAATTGGTAAAACTGAATCTAATTAACTTACTGTTGATCAACTTGTCTGCATCAATTTGGAATAAGTCCTAATGGGACCATAAGAAGTGAAGTGATTTTAACTTGCTCTAGTGGTTCTCAAATTAGTTCAGACCTACCAAAACTTGTAGGGTTTTTTTTTTTTAAGCTTACCAGTAGCAAAACAAAATTTATCTTCTCTAGAGGTAAATTGAAAAGGATATTAATAGACTAGGTGCTAAAACCATCAGCTATTCTGTGGTATGGTATCATTAGCTGGTGAAGGCCTGCAAAGCAAACTTGGTTGTTGGTGCTGGCTGAACTGACAAGCTTCAAGGATTCACAGCCAATTTTCAAGACATTGGCCCAGCCAGACAAAAAGTGCCTGAATTTCAGACATAATTTGTACCAGTCTTGGGCAGATTCTTAAAACACAGTAAGTACCTCTATGGGTTTATTGGTATTTGTCTCTTTGTTGCAAACTCAATGTTACAGTGTTGATTAAATTTTTAAAAGGTTTTTCTTCTTCCATTTTCCTTTCTTTCTTTTTTTTCTCTTTTTTTTTTTTTTTTTTTTTTTTTTTTTTCCTTTGTCCATTTTTTTTTTTTTTTTTATAAAATGTCTAAGTTTTTTTAAAACCCAGTAAGTACCTTTATGGGTTTATTGTTATTTGTCTCTTTGTTGCAAACTCAATTTTACAGTGTTGATTAAATTTTTAAAAGGTTTTTTTTTTTCCATTTTCCTTTCTTTTTTTTTTTTTTTTTTTTTTTTTTTTTTGATTTTGTATTTTCCTTGGTCAATTTTGTTTTTCATTTTAATAAAATGACTAAGTTATTTGACATCCACATGTTGATTCAGGGAGGTAAAAATGGGGTTCAGGTATAAAAAGAGGAAGTTTAAATCCTCTGTTAGTAGATTATTGACTTTTAAAAAGTACTGCTGCATTGTACACAAATTGTTCATTGTTTATTCACTTGCGTTATAAAGGAAGAACAAATGACATACCATGGCATACTTCAAAAAATAAAATATGCACTTTGTGTCATTTACCATGAAGAAAAAAATGTCAAAAAGTTACAATTCTGTCCTTACTAATCAAAGTGCTATTTATTCTTTGTTGTACCATTTTTTTTTCTCTTTAAAAGAAAGTAATTAAATTTAAAAATTATTTTGTAAAAAAAATTTAATGAGACACCATTTTTTTGGTGCTCTATAAAAAAAAAATTAAAAAAGAAATAGCTTTTTCGTTATGCATTAAATGGCAAAAAATGCTATTTTATCACTTAGTGATACTTGTGTACCTGTCAAATATTGTTCACCTCTCACAAAATTTTTTAGTTAATACATCATGTTTTAAGGCAAGATAATGAGGAAATAAGTGTGTTGTCTTTATACTGTCTGCTCACCTTTCACTAATAACTGGTACTAAATGTTGCCTGTGATAATAGTATTCAACAATTCATTACCCCATGCTGCTGTTTCAAGAAATATTTGTATTTCAATTTTGGTAAACTCACTCCTTGAAAGTAATGGGTTAAAATGAAGTCACTTGAGAGTAATGGGTTAAAATAAATTCACTCATTGTCAGTGATGGGTTTTTCCTCAGACAACAAAATGATACCATGAGGAATTTATTGGAACTTCTTCTAAAAAACACCAATAAAGTAAACATTTTGTTCAAATATGATGTACACTATAGCTCCAAGACTTTTGTCTTTCAGTAGATTATAGTATAATATTTATACATTTATCCATAGACTTTTATTGTGCTTATAAATATATTAATTTGTTTGTCTTAAATAATGAATAAACTCAGAATAGTCCTAGCAATTTCATGAAATTTGTATTCTTTTCTTGATATAAAATTAATAGTTTTTGGCATGTCATGGGTAAAATCTACAACTGCCCTTGAAATGATCTGTGCCTTAATGGAGACTGCACTCTAAAGAAATGATTCTTTGTTGCTCAGCTTCAAGTTCATGTAGCTCAGGGTTTGGTCACGTGTGTCCTGCTCAAACATTTAATGCAGCATGCAAGACCTTCCAGGAAACTGGATTAACGCTGTCGTAAAATGTACAAAATCTAAATCATAATTAACCACAAAATTAAAAAATTAAATCGCCATTCCCCCTGCCACCCTCTGCACAGAAAAGGTTGCCCACCCCTGATACAGCTGTTAGATCCAAACAAATCTGTTCACAAATCTCTATGTTTTAGCTTTGGGAAATTTTGAATTCCTTAACTTGTGAAACTGTCAACTTTGAGAGAATCTAGATAAAATAAGTAGATTCAGTTCTGACATTACATATTGTGTTTAGAACAGTTTTTATTATGTAAATATCACTTTGGAACTCTCATTTTGGCACTTGCTGATCCCACACAGCTTTTCATTTGTAGTTACATTCATGTGTGCTATTTATGCAACATATTTTTAAAATGCTCTTATAGATATTTTAAAGGGACATATGGGGAAAAAGATCCTGTTGATGATATCATATCCAATGATAATGGGAAAAATAGACTGAGCATGAAATGTACATAAATGTAGGAGTTTGTGCACCCACCTTCGATTTTATCAACTGTATTTAGACCAGCGTGTGACTGCTGATCTCATTGGCCATAAATGGATTGTGCTATGGATGTTGTTGAAATTCAAGGAGTGTTCAGATGATAAATATGGAGAACTTACAAAGTATTTCCAGACTGCTGCAATCTTTACATGTGATTCCATTTTCTTAATTTCTACACCCAAGAGCTAACAGTTTGGCAAGATCTGCTGTTTTAATCGATCATCACTTACCATAAGGTGGCTGAATGGAGAGTGCAAAGAATACGCCAGATGACTCTTCCTTGCCCTAAAAAAATGTCATTTTTAGATTGTTTGTCTTTATTTGCCTTGTTCGAGGTCAAGCAGTTTGTAATCATTTCAAGTAACTTTACATTTGAAAAAAATAATCAACTGCTGTCCTCTTACAATGCTCAAACTTAAGTGCTATTGTTGATCATTAATATTTTTTTTTTTTCAGCCTTCTCTTCCCTAATTTATTTGCATGTAGTAGTGTTAACTGTAAGAATATTTTGATTTATAGGAACATATCTTCCATTTTCAGTTATTCTATTTTTTTTTTAAATTTGTTTACCAACTGCTTCTGGTTGGGTTATTTTTAAGATTTTCATTTGTAAAATTTGGGTGGTGTCTTCTAGATTAGAATATCAAAACTGTGCTGCTTGAAAACTACTTCTTCCAACTATTTTGAAAAAAAATAATTCCATTTTTGATCAATAGATACAGGTATAAAAAATGCATCTTAAAATGCAATGAAATAATGCACTAACCAAAACATCAGAGGTCTTGTCAAAGTGTCTTACAGTTACAGACTTTCAAGTTTGAAGAGGACTATATCATTCTGATCTATATCTTTGTTCTTTTGCTTGGATTATGTAATTACTTTTAGAGGAATATTTCTTGTGACAGTATTGCATTTTGTTTATTAATTCATTGTATGTACATTGGCAGCACTGCAGTTTTCCCACAACACTTTGAAAAATGAAATGTTATTTACAATCTATTACCAGTTTGGAGATGACCTTTACTTAAATTAATTATTCAGTTACTCCATGAAGGATTAACTGGGTTCCAGAGTACCAAAATATGAGGTTATTTTATTATTTTTTTGCTGCGGATTGGTTCCTACTAGTTGCTAGGGTAGAGTAAACTCAATATGACAAATACCCGGGTTTCTTGTTATTTTCTTATATAATTTTCGTATGGCTTTAGGAATATTCCTGTCACCTATATTCTCAAAGCCCTTGTTCAAATAATATTCTGTCTCATTGAATGGCTGTTGGTAACAACAGACAATTAATATTGGTCATAAAGTTATCAAATGCTTAAAAAATTCTAAGTGCATGTTTCAAATAATTTTTTTAAATTAAAAAAAAAAAAACTTACCACAAATCTATTAGCATTTCTTTATGCCACAAATTTAATCCTGACTTGGAACGTAATTGCTCGTTATGGAAGCGTAAACAAGAAGCTTTATTTATTAAAAATGTTAAAGATGACAGAAATTCATACTTTGAAAAAAACATTTCACACTTTCCGAAAAGTGTGGAGTGACAAACCTGTAGTCTAAGATCATTTTGTTTAACTCAGATACAGTTTTGAATTGAACCTTGCAGGATATGTTGTGTTACTCTGGTACAGTTAGTTCTGATTGGAACCTTGTATGAAATTTTGTTTTACACTGTGCAGTCATTTTTGGGGTGAACCTTTTTTTCAACACTGCATATTATGTGTACAATTTTCATGTGTGTAACAAATTTTAACTTTCTTCACAGAAATAAATAATGTAATGAAAATAACTATGGTCCATATTTTTTATGCTGTTAATTGTTGTGGTGTGTTCTCTACCATATTTAACACTACCTTACAAGATGCTTTCATGCTAGAAATTTTACACAACAACACAGACTTGAGTGTAATTTTTTACTTTTATTTAATGAGAATATAGTACATCACTATTGGACTGTAGCTATGACAGCTATTCACAAAGAAAAATCTCTTGACAACAAATAAATGTTACTGGCAATTTATTTCTCAACATTAAAAAAAAAAATAATAATAATTAAACAAAACAAACTTCCACTTATGACTTGATCTGCTTTAAGAGATTTGGCAATTTAGAGCTTTAAATAATTTTTTTGCTAAACTATTTATCATCAAAGTTAAATGGATGGGAATTTCTGTGGCCGTTTGACATAATTATGAAATTCAACCAGTGCATGAATCAACAAGTCATGTTAGTAAAACTCCATACCACTAGTATTGCAAATCTTAAAGGTCGTTTAATTGTCAAAATTTTCCGGATTGAGTAGAAAATACCCAGGTTCTTAATCCCATATTTAAGATTAACTCTAAAACAATATGGTATTTATAATGAAAACTAGTTAATTAAATTTACTCATATGGGTGGGGTTAATTATAGTACTTACATTTATTTTTTCTGCCATTTCCATTTTAAAGTACCGGGTAGTCAATTTTTTTTTTTAGCTTCTCTGAGTTCTGGGGCCTGATTTAAATTTAATGCTTTCATGACAATACTTATTTTCACTTTGTTTCCTGATTGGTCTTATTAATAACTGAGATTTAAAAAAATAAGAGACTGCTGCTGCACAAATGAAGTGTCAAATGTTGATATTATTACTAATGATATTTTATTTATGGAGAAAAGATTAT